ATTTTGGTCCAATTTTACCAGACCCATTTTCAGGTAAGTTTCTTAGGTCTTTCATCTTCTTTTCCATAGTCTGAGGTCTTGGAATTATTGTTTATTATTTTAGTGCCAAAACAAACCACTGCTTTGATGGGGTAGTGTTGGAACATGCAACATTTACTTACTTGCCTTAATTCCCCAATTATCCACTGTACTCCAAGGGAGCATGGCTACATGTAGGTGTTACAACTGACTTGTGAATAATTGTGAAACACTACATGTCATCACCTTTCTAGTGGTACTACATTGTTTTGTACATTACATGCATGATTTTACTCTGAGTAGATGTTATTTACTTTTCTAAAATCCCTATCAGTTGTTAATAATTAGCCACAGTGTCTATTCTAGGAGGGGAATTTGGGGGATTCTCTCATATTTTTGAGAATTCCCCCCCCTATTTTTCAGAGGCTGGGAGAAACTTTTACATAGAGAAAGACTGAAAAAGAAAAAGATCAACAAATGTAATAAATTCTCACTTTTAGATAAAAATCCACCACAATTTTTTTGAAACTGTTAAGGCCTCAACAGACAGTAGGATTTTGAAGTACAACACCAATTTAAACTAAGATGTACAAGCAAATCTTAATGTTTTAAGGCTATAATTTCTTGAATTCGTTAACCGAAATACTAGATGTAAGAGATAGGACATGTTCTAATTTGAAAATCTTATGGTACAGACCTCCCGCAATGACAAGCAACATATTGCCCAATTATCTCCTGATAATGGGTGTAATGAATGAAATCTTAGAACAATTTCGGGCGGCTAAAAGGTTAACATACTAGTAAAATGGGGGTAAACAATGATGTTTTAAAACTCTTCAGGAAACCCAAAGTTGTGGTATGTTCGAATCTCAAAATATTCAACTTATGAGTATGTCATGGTATTGAACTGTTCTCTCTTAGTCTTAATCAGGGGAGCTAGTTTGTAGGCGGCCTGATAGCCCAGTAAGTTGAGCTGCAGAACGGTATTCCAAGGGTCCCAGGTTTGAGTCTCGGTCAGACCTGCATTAAAAAATTTTAAAATAAAAAAAAAGATGGTGGTGTTTTAACCATTACTTATGGAGAAAAAAATTATTTAGTGAATAAAGTATGTAAGAGATCAATTGGGAGGGAATTTTTTTTAGGGAAACCTCAGATGATTCCTACAACGCAGAATTACGGTCTGAATGCAAGTGTTGTATTGCTTTGTAAATTGTACATTATATCTCTTTATATCTCTAATTAGTGTTGTACAACTAAATTCTACCGTCTCTTGAGGCCCTTAGCTGTTGTTAAAAAATACCTTGTAAAGTATGTATAAGAAGATTTTAAGAGGCATACATGTAAGACTAAACTATTAATGGATAGTAAAATAAAGAAGAAATAAAATCTACTCTTCCTGTTTAAGTATTGTTACTAAATATATATCTATCTTACTGAGAGGTTTAAAAAATGTACTTCTTGGAAACATTGATAAAATTGTGAAAGTAGAGTTGTGAACTAGTAGTTACGGTGTCTGTCTCTCAACCCAGAGATCATGGGTTCGAGCCCTACTCTGGTCACAACCATGTTTCTTCATATGACACTAGTACTGGCGGACTCGAAAGTGATTAATATAAGTTGCAAGAACTTGTTTTGCAATCAAGCTTAAATAAATATGTTTAACCAAGTGAAAGTAGAAGATGATTCCTTGAAAATACAGGCAATTTTGCCAACTAAAAAATTAATATTATCTAATACTAGTATCTATCATCTATTTAAATCTTTGGCCATGTGATACCCCAATGCCTTGTCAAATCATGGTAGTTATAAAGCATTTTGTTGTATCTTTCAAGCCTTTAAAGAAGAATTAATGTTGAAGCAAAGAATGGTAAGACCAAGAATTTGATCTCTATGCTTTTTTCATAAAGACCGAGTAATAGCCAAAGAGATAAATATTGAGTTGGTGTACAAAAGAAAGTAGCCAGGAAGACTTTATGTAGATGAATATTTTGTATAGTATTGAATATCGCAGTATCTATTTATTATTTAAAATTATAAATAGTGAAAATGTAAGATGTTTTTTTATTGTTTAAGATCAATTATCAGGTTATCTAGATGAAACAATCTTAAAATAACTTATCTGTCGTAATGGTGTTTTTTTTTCTTTTTTTCCTTTTATCTTCAGAATTGGGTGATGGAATTTTATACAACAAAGCTTGATGTTTCTGTCCAGATATATTTTATCTATGACTATTTTTAGATGTTAAGAATGTTCATTGATAAAAGGTGTTCCAACATGTATTCTTGCATAAAAACTGGGCACATAGGTATGCATTTATTAAGAAGATAACATGCATTAACAGATAGCCTCTTTTGACCATGTTCCATTGGTGCATGATTTTTAATATGCATGACTACGGGAGCTATGTAAAAACAGCTTAATGCAGTGATGGATACATTCATGCAGGAATAGCGCCAATGCATTTTTTTTGTGCAATAACATTTGCAAAAGCCCTCACTTATTCTCTTGCCCTGCAGGCTGTGGCTTTAAATCAGCAGCTTAGTGCCTCTGCAGATGTTAATACACAAAAAAAGGTGCATTAAACCACTAGTGAATTTTAGAATATCACCTACCACTTTCAAAAGACAAAGTGGACAGACTTGAAGTAAATGCAGATAAAGTTCAAAATTTTATACAAAGTCAAGATTGTAAGTAGTCTTATCATGTACATAGAATGTTGTACACCATGACTGTCCTTGATCAAGCTATAAATCAACATTACAGATTGCATAAATAATAAACTTGCTAATAAAGCTATGACCAAGTGTCAACATTTGAGCTTTGTGGGAAATGGCTATGATCAGAGATAAGATTGTTTGCTACACACACAAAGGGATTTTGATTGTTATTCTAACCTTTTTTGACCATTTTTATCATGCCTGCAGCTTTTTAACATGTAAAAATGTGTCAAATGATGATAAATTTACGCTTAGTATATTTTAATCTGTAATTGAGCAGAAATAACTGATTATCGCAACATATTTTCAAGTTTACAACGTAAATAATTTCCTTAAGTCAACAACATTCCTGTAAAATATATGTTAATATATCAATAAAAAAATACTTATATTCTCTTATCAAAGCTGATTCACAAGAATGATCACACACAAAAAATCAAATTAGTCAGATGTCTTATATATATGAACTTTAAGTTGTTTGTCCAGAAAAAAATGTTGATTATCTGACAAGGGGAGTTGTAAATTTTGAGCCATTTTAAAGCTTGTAATCAAAATGAATTATATATAAATTTATTTTGTGGGTTGGGCTGACTGATAAGAGAAAGATTAGTTTTGTAATCAACGAACTTTTCAGGACCGCAGGAAAGTGTGTCTAATAATCTGTTGTTATAATGTAAAATTGTCAAACAGACCTGATTTGTTTGTTTTTGTTCAAGCTGAACATTATATTATAATTCTTTTATAGACATTTTTTCTGAATTCTGAAACCTTAGAAATGACCGTAGATGCTTTTCAAAGCAAGACAACTCTATTATATAATCATACATTTAACAGAGTGTGATACTGTGAAACGAGAATGTACATTGTAACAGCTTTATGCAAGTGAATGAACATAATTATATCGTGGATAACCAACATTTTTTTGTGGACTCTGACCTTAAAGAGACTTATTCATGGTACATTTTACCTAATTGGTAACATCCACAGTTAAGTAACTGTTAAGTAAGTAAGAAAGAATGTACGTCTTTAATGAGGCCTGTCTTACTACTAATAACCTATCATATATAGACCTTATAATCGTATAGTGACCAGAAACTACCTGGGATGGATAACATAATTTGCTTCCTGAACATTTTTTGTCTGTTTCGAGTGCTGAATATTCAGTTTGAATATCTACATTATACTTTAAATAATTTAGGACCTGACAATCATTAGTTAATTCATACATGCCAGTTTTCTGTTATATAAATGCTTGTGTTATTGTTTTCTATATGTTTGCTTTGAATAATAACTAAATGATAATAAATGACAAGGAATTTTCAAAACAATTAAAGTTTTATACTATGTATTCAACTGCAATTATATTATTCTGTCATTCTTTAAAAAAATCATTTAGTAATTCAAATCTGACCTCCAATATATTTGTTAAGGCAGTTATAAACCTACTGTACATTATTATATACATATATTGACATTGTCTTTGTTTTAATTTACAATTCAGTCTTATGTTTAGGTTTAATGCTAAAGCATGTTTGTTGTGCCATGCTAAAGCTTTGATTTTTGTTGCAGTCTGAACTCTGTCCGTGTCTCCTATGTTTATAAACAGCTTGCCAGGCTGCCAGCCATCCAAAATGATTCCCAAATACAAAATGTCACAAACATGATGATGTGGGTACTGGAGAGAACAGTGAGCTGTTTTTTAGTTAGCTCTTTTTCTGTTTACATGCTGTGCTGTGAATGAAATGACATATGCTGATTGAATGATATTAGTACATGCACTATTGATGTATCAAACCGAAAACTTAAAATCCAAATTGAATAATCGGATATGCATACATTTGGAGTCTTTAGTTGGCTACTCTGTTTAGACTTAAGCTTCAGGCAAAGAAAGGCACCAGTGTTATCCTTACATATTCTAGTACTAGTTCTCCAGGAACGATGGTTAGGAAACTACCCGCCTATATGACTGAAATACTGTTGGGAAAAGGCGTAAAATGAAACAAACAAACAAAATAACCTAACTAATTGTTTACTGTGTACTTTAGCATGTTATTCAACTGCATTTGTTTGTCTTATGCAATATGTGGTTTTTATTTTAAAGGTGTAGGTTTAAAAGTAATGCCATGTGTTTTTTTAAGGTAGTGTTTATGGGCATTCAACTCTTGTTCATATTTGACAAATGACATCACCGTTCTATACACCTGAATTGGATTAGTCCATGAATATCAAATAACATATTACAGTCATAGCGTCTACCTGTGCCAAAATATCATAGCATGCAAGTTGAGAGACGGACAAAAGTACAGAAAGGAAATTGAGGTTAAATCGCTGTGTGTGTTGAAAAAACAAGTTTGTGTCAACAATTTTTAGCTTGATATAAAACTGTGCTGTATAATAAGATTGATTTTAATTTTATGCTAAGAAGGAGACTGTGTATAGATTAAGATTTATGTAATAAAATTAGACAGGATTAAAATACTGGAGGATTCGTTTAGCAGTGAGTTATAAATTAGTTTTCGTCTTTTTGGAGGGAAGATTTATAAAATTGCATCTTATCTTTATGTCTATGAAGTTTGATTAATACGATAGTTTAAAATTTTATCAAAACTTTTTTAAAGTTTGAGAAGTAAATGAAAATGTAGAACTTTACAGCATGCATTATTCTAAAGTATTCATCACATATTAACCAGGTATAAAAATATTTTGATTTTCAAACAATTTAATATAAACTGTGACATTTCAATTTTCATTAGGGAAATGTTAGTGACCTTGGTGAATAGACTGTATCTCTTGTTTAAGCAAAAAAATGAAAAACTAGGTGTTTTAATAAGATTTTTAGAATGAGTAATATGTTACCATTTTTTGTTTCATCTTTTCTCTTGGTTGTTTTTGGTATATAGCCCGTATTACCCATGCTTAGTCCTTTTTTAAAAGGAAAATGTTCTTGCACTGATACTTAAACTATATTATGGTGAGTTTCCTGTAAATTTGAAAGCATCATGTATGCATAACGCCATTTAATATTTATAACTTCTAAAAGCAGGTCTTTTGTTACTTCAGTTTGTAGTCAAAATATAGTAACGTGCCAAAGCTTGATTCTGAGATATTTTCGTTCTGGGGCAGAATCTCGCTTTAACGAGATATTGCCCAGACACGAAAATAGCACAATATTTTGTCGCGCAGTACAATTAGTTGGACTACTTCAGTTTGGTGAGTTTTATTGAAACCTGCATGCTGTGCAATTAATATAGGATCCGTACTCTCAGTGCCTGAAAGGGCGCTTGGACCCTCATTAACTTAAGCCTACAGAATACATGCGATTAATATAATCTGGCCGTACTACAAGTGCAGACCAAAGTCAAGAATCACATTCGTGCATTCTGATCCTGGCCACCACTTTCTGCTATTCAGTCAGTATTTATTTTGAAATTTTCACTAAAAGTGATGTGGTTTCATATAAATTGAAAGATTGACAAAGTATCTTGTTTACTTGTCTTCCTTTCATTTTATCTACCCACGCCCCACAACTATTATGGAAAATTTTGCTTAGTAAGTCAATGAAGGTTAGGATTGAATATATATATATATGCACTATTTGCAAATGCTGACTGAAGCTAAATTATGCTGGTTGCTTGGGAAAACATACAGGGAAATTATTATAATTAAATGAAAAGGTTATATGATATGAAATAGTTTCCTGATTCATCATGTATACAGCCAGCAGCCAGCCACTGATTATGGTAATGAATCAGATTATTAATTGTGTTTAACTGTTTATGTGATCTACTTTCCTGTCTCAGTGTGGATATTTCCATTTGAAATTCCATATTTGGTGTTGTAATCAATCTCCATCATGACCATTTTGAATGCCAAACTACAGTAACTTATATGAAATAAAAAAAGATTTACAATAGCCTTGCGGTGATCTCTTTTTATGCATATTTTTTCCTTAAAAGGTTTGCTACATGGAAAAGCTTGCAAAAAATGTTTGTTTTGGAAAAACTTACTAGTAAAAAAATTGCTTTGGAAAAATTTGCTAGTAGAAAAAAAATGCTTTGGAAAAACTTGCTTACACAACTTGTTTTAAAGTTTGTTTTGGAAACCTTGCATTAAAGATTTGTTTTAAAGACAGTTCTTACAAAGGTTTGTTTTGACAAAACAAATTTTATGATTTAAAAGATGCCTAAAAAAGGTTTTGGACAATTTGACCATTGTGTTTTACAACTAAGAAAAGCATGCTTTTTATGATCCTAACATATGCTATTTTCATTAGAGAAAATAGAATTTGTTAGTCTCTGACATGGAATTCATTGACCATGACATGATGTGGCGAGTTAATTAGTTTTGTGGGAATGTTTTGGATTTCTTTTTGTACATGCAGAACATAGCTCTTCCTGTTTTGTATGAGTTAGTGCAGGTGCATAAAACTAGATTCAAATTAGCATAGGATTATCGTAGTACTTAACTTTTTCTATATGTCTGCTGTGAATTTCATTAATGAATTAAATAGTTGATATTTTGTGTGAAGCAAAACAAATTCAACTTATCTTGAATGAGGTCTAAGATTTTTAACTTCACCGTATGCATGACCGCACATGACAAAATACAGAGAGTACCCCTGTAATAGAGTTGGCCTGATAATACAGATTTAATTAAGAATTCCATAAGCATTTGCCTTAATCAACATTTGAGTATGTACTCCTGATTAGATAGCATTACAAACATGTACACTACAACACATTTTACTATTAATCATTCATGGTACAGACACAAATGTAGATTTCTATCTCAGCCCTGAAACTCCCACTGGAAAATTTTGCTTATTTTTCTGAATAATTTCAAACAAGAGTTGTATAATTAATAGCCAATCTGCTTATTGAGGCACTTCTTGGAACTGAGTCTCTTGTTCTATATAGGCTCTCTCTAGAATAATTATATTTCTATAACTGTATTCACACAAGTATTATCTTCGGTAGAAAGTGATGAAGAGAATTGGTTTAATTGTGCAAGTAACAAAGAACTCTTTGTGTTTTTTGGTCCTGATTGAAGAAGATGCGAAATAAAGAAGAAGATTTTTTTTTTATTTTAGCGGTGAAAACTGACAGCTATACAGAAAATCTAGTATTGTGGAAGGTAATTTTGATGGTATCTAGGCCAGTTGTTAGATACAACAAATGTTTGCCTTATCATATAGGGAGGGGTAATTAAGATATTTATGTGAATGCCACTTCTTTCTTTGTGTGTCTCCCACTTTATCATCCGGTGATAGATGACAGGTACTTAATTGTTTCAATGTGCTATCTCCAGCTATCAATTATTATAATCTGTTATGTAAATGTTTCATTTCTCAAGAATCATCCTTAACTTTGGTATTTCAAGTTTTTCTTTTCTTTTTTTTCTGTCGTTTTTTTCCGAAAGAATTAGATTTTATTTTTTGCTGTTTTATTTTGTTCCAATTTTTGCAGGATGTAGTACCAGTTTTTGATTGGTTACTTGAAAACCTATTTTTTTTTAATCCTGTTTGATAATACATGTTTAGTAATTTTCTTCTATTTCTGTCTTTAAAAAAAATGAGTTGCAAAAGCAGATAAATTATGAACTTTTTTAACCATAGGGAATGTTTTTTTGCAAATGAGAATGGGTCCATTACTTACCGGACTTGTGAATAATGTCAGCAATTCTATTTAGTTACTGATGCGCATAGTTTTTCTACAAAAGATTGAAGAATTAGTTTGAAATTTGAGATTTTTTATAATGCTGTGATGTTTATCTGACATATTTGTTACATACCTGTAATCTGAGAGGATTCATCAATGATACATTTTTGAAATGTAGAAATTTTACCAAAATTCATCCTTCAAATGCTGTTTGCTGCTAGGAGTTTAGGACAGGATGTTCAAAATCCTGGCTAAATGGACAAGTACATTATACAAATTTAGTAAAGTTAAAATTAATTCTCAATATACAGGCTGGTACAATCTTAGTATAGTTTACATAACAGCAATTTCCCATAGTAAACTTAAATGGAGTGAAGATTTCTCTTTCTCCAAGTTAAGTATTGCCTATTTTAAGATTGGACTTGTCACTGACTGTATTAATGGCACATTTATGAGTTTTCTTTGCCAAGTACCTTAAATTTGATTTAATAGCATTTTTGTATTTTTGTTTCCTCAGAAAAATATTATAGTCGAAGGAATGTAGAATAATCTAGCATTCAATGCATATTTGCATAATTTTACTGCAGATAAATCGTTACACAGAGTGGCTGCAATTCCATTAAGGCTTACATCAGATGTACACCAATTACTTTAATAACAGCTGTGTTAAATATTTATAAACAGTCAGTCCAGGATATTGCATATCATAATCTAAATATTGTGTTATATCAATATAACAGATTGCTTCACACCTAGCTGCTTTTCCATATCCTCCTTTGCGTTTTGGAAAGTTCATTATTTATTTTAGGGACTTCAGTTTTAAAAAAAACACCAAATACAATTTAGTAACCTAAAGGAAAGGTGGATGGTTCTAATCAAGTGCCCGCATGTATTTCTTTTCTCCTGCAATAAAGTTTACATTACACCTAAATTACAACATTGTCAATGTGACTTAAAACCAAATAAAAAATTTGAAAATGTACATCCCATTTTATATATATTAGATGTCATTTCAAAATGACCCCCAAATTAAGTCCAAAAGAGACATCAGGACATGCTGAAACCTATAAGAAAAGTTATGGGCAAAACCAGATTAACGGCAAGGTAAAAGAGTGCTTACATTTTACATGTAATAAGCAAAAATAATCATCAACTTCAATAAAAATGCTTGGTGACACATCTATTTATTTAAATTCACAATGAATTATTTTTTTCTTGGAAGAAAACCCTCCATCTGCTCTACACAATTGTTTTGTTTTGCAAATATTTTTTTTGCAAAAGTTTATAGATAATACGTGATGTATATGACATTTTAGTCACAAACAAGGATGAAATTGTCATGGGAAAGTTGGGATACTTAATTCATTATATATTAACTATTTTACATAGATTTGGTATTTTTCCCAGTACACATTACACTTATATACTGACATTCTCTTTTATATCTTCAGTATAGTAGGGTTGTTTTTCTTTCATTTGACAAATAAAAACGCTTTGATACATTTAGTTAACAAGAAAATTTATATACCAATTAGAAAAAAAAATATTTTCAAATTTCAAACTATGTGGGTTGAAGTTCCACTAGGGACCTTGGATTCTTGCATTCTTTCTTGTTAGGAGGCTATCCAGCTAGCTTACAGAATTCAGGTGCCGGCTCTTGCCTTGAATAAGGCAGGGCCACCTTAGGTCTTCCTCCACCAGAAAAGCTGGAATTTTGCCACATGACCTCAACTGTGTTGACTCAACCAGAGAAAAGATATCTTGTCAGAATTTATTTTTATATAAGGACTATCATCTTTACAGATTGTGTGTGTTTTTCTTTTCAAAATGTTATAAAATCTTTAGTGTTTTTGTTTACTTTTCTTTTGCTTCTTTTAGGGTATGGGAATTAAATTTTCAAATTTTAGAAAAAAATTCAAGATAAACTGAAATATTTTTTTTGTCATTTTTGTGTCGCCTTGAAAAGGTGACATATAGGGGTTACTTTTGTCGGCGGCGTCTGTGTCGGCGTCGTTTGTCGGCGTCGGCGTCCCCTAAAGCTTGTCCGGAGCATAACTCAGTCACTATAAGTCTGATTGACTTCAAACTTGGTATGCATGCTTCTTTCAATAACCCGAAGTGCAGTGCACAAGGACCGGTACTCTGCAGTTCAAACTGAAATATTTTTTTTTGTCATTTTTGTGTCGCCTTGAAAAGGTGACATATAGGGGTTACTTTTGTCGGCGGCGTCGGCGGCGTCTGTGTCGGCGTCGTTGTCGGCGTCGGCGTCCCCTAAAGCTTGTCCGGAGCATAACTCAGTCACTATAAGTCTGATTGACTTCAAACTTGGTATGCATGCTTCTTTCAATAACCCGAAGTGCAGTGCACAAGGACCGGTACTCTGCAGTTCTTATTTTTTGAGTTATTGCCCTTTGTTAATTTTCATACTTTAATTTTGTCCGGGCCATTTCTCTTCAACTAAAAAAGCTATGGACTTGAAACTTCATAGGATGATAGATCTCATTAAGAAGAAGTGCAGTGCATAAGAACCGGTACTCTGCACTTCCTAATTTTTGAGTTATTGCCCTTTGTTAATTTTCATACTTTATTTTTGTCCGGGCCATTTCTCCTAATGTATAAAAGCCATGGACTTGAAACTTCATAGGATGATAGGTCTCATTAAGAAGAAGTGCAGTGCACAAGAACAGGTACTCTGCATTTCTTGTTTTTTGAGTTATTGCCCTTTGTTTATTTTCATACTTTAATTTTGTCCGGGCCATTTCTCCTTAAGTATAAAAGCTATGGACTTGAAACTTCATAGGATGATAGATCTCATTAAGAAGAAGTGCAGTGCACAAGAATCGGTACTCTGCATTTCTTAATTTTTGAGTTATGGCCTTTTGTTGATTTTCATACTTAATTTTTGTCCAGGCCATTTCTCCGAAAGTATAAAAGTTATGGACTTGAAACTTCATAGGATGATAGATCTCATTAAGAAAAAGTGCAGTGCATAAGAACTGATACTCTGCATTTCTTATTTTTTGAGTTATTGCCCTTTGTTGATTTTCTTACTTTATTTTTGTCCTGGTCATTTCTCCTCAAGTATGAAAGCTATGGACTTGAAACATCATAGAATGATAGATCTTATTGATAAGAAATGCAGTGCACAGATTTGCTGCTCTGCACTTATTTTTTTTTTTAGTTATTGCCCTTTGTTGTTTTTCATATTTCATTTTTGTCCTGGCCATTTCTCCTAAACTACATTGTTCACAAGGCGACACATCCGACTCGCGGAGTTCTAGTAATAGAAAATAATCTATATTCTTAAGATGGTCACTTTTGATGGGTATGTATATTATGGTTCATTGAAAAAGAATAAAATAAGAATTTATAATCTAATACGCAAAAAAAGCCGAACACATTAGTTCCTTTAAAGTTTTTTTTAAGTATTCCTTTAGCAATTTGTCCAGACAGTGATTGTACCTCCGGTACATGTCCCACTGCCTACTGTCTACTGAAATATTTACTTTCCTGGTTACATATAATAATGTTCATCAATTATAATGAAGTTTTCACACAGAAAGTTTGACAGACACGTTTCCGTACTGACTCAGTGTTAATTAGAAACATGTCAACAGATAAAGACGGATCTTCGCCTTATGTCCAAATATGGAATTTCTTGTTATTTCTCTGTTATAATTGACAATATGCAAATGTAGGGGAGTGCATACTTAATTGTCCATTATTATTTTTATTTGTCTTCCTCTGTGAGTAATATATGTATATAATATGGATGTTAAAGAATTTTACTTCTTTTAAGTTTCAAAACATTTTGCTTGTGTTAGTATAGGGATATTTCAACTGAATGAACTTTTGAGGTCAGTTGCAGGATTTTCATTTAAAAGCAAAACTATTTTACTGATTTTATAATACTATATTCTTACAACACGTATAAAAAATGTAAGGCCTGTTTTATGTCATTAATTTATTTCATCGTAAAGTCACTCTTCCGGTAGATGGTTTTATAGTTGCTTTATAACATCATGTTATTTATTACCTATTTATATGTGTTGTTTACGACCTATTGGATGTAGCACTGCAGTGAATAGAAAAATAACATTCTGTTATAAAAGGGTGGTTCTATGATTTTATGGCTTTGGTTATGTTACATTGTGTACAAATAGATTCTATCGTACATTTTTTTAGCACAGTCATAATTGTGTGCAGTTATGTTTAAATGCATGCATGTAATTGTTTAATTTACATTAGGGCTGTAAAGCTAAACTTTAAAATGCCTGTGGTAGACTACACAGGTCAGTGTTTTTTTTATTCCCATTCACTAAAATTTCTAGAATTATGTCATATTCCAAATTGGACCATATAAAGCTTATAGACCTTTACTACTCAAAAACAAAGTATAATTCTGTACAATATTATAAAAAAAAATACAAATTTTAAGTGCAAACTAATAATGTTTTTATATTATTATTATGTAGTCCTAGATACTCTATTTAAAGCCACATACCTAATGCTAATTTTCATGAAAAGTTTGAAAATTAATTTGAAATTAAAATATAGTGGAATGAACAAAGTAAGTAATTTGCGTATTGCAAACAGCTCTTACAATCCAGTTAATTGACCAAAAAGGGGTGAAAATATGCATAAATAGCCCTTGCTGTGTTAGTCAAGAAGTAGAAATATGGTGATATAAATCGCACATGACATGTAAATTATTAATTGAATCATTTTACTTTTCTGAAGATTTTAGACAAATTTAGAACAATTTCCTCAGGTTTTTTCTTAAAATAGTTTGGTTCTGACATTTTGAGGCATGCAGCTTTAATATTGTAAGTGTATTGATAACCTCAATGTTTTGTAGAAAGTTACTGACCGTCAATATGTTTGTCAATATGTTCGTGTTGACCCAAGTACAACATAACATGTCTATCATTTAATGATACTAGGTGCAAATTTTACAAAACTTTATGTAAGTTTTAAAATTTTAAATATTTAAAACTGTCATACTATACCTGTCAGGTAGATATGCCAATGTTATTCATTCAGACAGAATATATTGATCAAAACAAGGACACTATTTAGTAAATTGCAGATTGTCATAAAGGTTTGCTTGTTGCATTGATTGATTGATCTATTTCAAGTTTGTTTTAATCTGCTAGGTCATCAATTGAAATATCTCCAAGTCTCTGAAGGCTGCTTAAATATCAGATTTCTGAGCTTGTTTTCTATGTCTTTGTAAATGATTTAATATTCAGTGAATAAACAGAATACATTTGTTGTATTATAAACAAACGGGACAAAAAAAATCAGAACTGCTATGAATATACTGCTAACTCGGTGTTTGTGGCCGAGTGGTGGGTAAGGTTGTTGATTTCATACCACTTGCCCCTTCATGGCTGTGGGTTCAAATCCAGTTAAGGCCTTGTATTCTATTCACACCCTGTGTTCATTCATATGAGGAAGTTATCGAGCTTGCTAACAAAACGCTGGTGGTTTTACTCAGGTGCCCACTTATGATTAATAAATTTATGCATTGAGGGCACCAGAGGTCTTCCTTTACAAGTAGAGATTACCTCTCTGTTCCCAAACATACCTAACCTACCTGCTACTCATTGATACAACTATTGAATGAAATACAGAGTGTGGATATGGTCTTCTTTTATATAATGTCAATGAAGTTTCCTGATTTTTTTCCCTCAATTTTTTGGAAGTTGTTCAAATTAAAGGTGACAAATGTATATTGTATAAATAGCTGTTTTTATTGTTGTCATTTCAGAATTGTTTATGGTAAAATTGAAAATGAGGATACTTACTGCTGTTTGCTGTATAGTGTATATAGCGCAAGTGAAGGCGCGAGGTAAGTTATCATTATAATACATAGGATGTTTCGATAGATTCTTAAACTCAGGGGTCACATAAAATTTTTAAAAGTCGAACTTAGATTTGCAAGATTGCACCTTAGTAAGGGATTTACACATGCCTTTTCCCAGTGTCACCGTGGGTCAGATTACCAGACCCATTCCAAATGGCAAAAACCTGTATGCTTATTATACCCCCAAAAACGAAGTTTGGGGGGGTATATAGGAGTCACTCGGTGGTCGGTCGGTCGGTTGGTCGGTCGGGCGGTCGGTCGGTCGGTCGGTCGGTCGGTCCAGACGTCCGTTGCATTTTCCTTGTCCGGAGCATAACTTGAAAACTAATAGTTGGAATTCAATATAACTACATACAATGGTCAAGCACATTGAGAGGAAGTGCAGTGCACAAGAACCATAACTCTATCTTGACTAATTACAGAGTTATTGCCCTTTGTTACTTTTCCTTGTCCGGGGCATAACTTGAAAACTACTGGTTGGAATTCAAAACAACTTCATACAATTGTCAAACACAATAAGGGGAAGTGCAGTGCACAAGAACCATAACTCTATCTAAAGTAATTACAGAGTTATTGCCCTTTGTTGTTTTTCCATTGCTTTTTTTTTGTCCGTAGCATTTTCCTTGTCCGGAGCATAACTTGAAGACTAATTGTTGGAATTCAATATAACTACATACAATGGTCAAGCACATTGAGAGGAAGTGCAGTGCGTAAGAAACATAACTCTATCTTGACTAATTATAGAGTTATTGCCCTTTGTTACTTTTCCTTGTCCGTGGCATAACTTGAAAACTACTGGTTGGAATTCAAAACAACTTCATACAATTGTCAAACACAATAAGGGGAAGTGCAGTGCACAAGAACCATAACTCTATCCAAAGTAATTACAGAGTTATTGCCCTTTGTTGCTTTTCCATTGCCTTCTTTTTTTGTCCGGACCATAACTTGAAGACTAATGGTTGGAATTCAATATAACTACATACAATGGTCAAGCACATTGAGAGGAAGTGCAGTGCATAAGAACCATAACTCTATCTAAAGTAATTAAAGAGTTATTGCCCTTTATTACTTTTCCATTGCTTTCTTTTGTCCGTACCATAACTTGAAGACTAATTGTTGGAATTCATTTTAACTTCATACAATGGTCCAGCACATTGAGAGGAAGTGCAGTGCACAAGAACCATAACTCCATCTTGATTTATTACAGAGTTACTGCCCTTTGTTTCTTTTCCTTGTCCAGAGCATAACTTTAAAACTACTGGTTGGAATTCAAAACAACTTCATACAATGGTCAAGCACAATAAGGGGAAGTGCAGTGCCCAAGAACCATAACTCCATCTTGACTAATTACAGAGTTATTGCCCTTTGTTTCTTTTCCATTGCTTTCTTTTGTCCGGACCATAACTTGAAGACTTATTGTTGGAATTCATTATAACTTCATACAATGGTCACGCACATTGAGAGGAAGTGCTGTGCATATGAACCATAACTCCATCTTGACTTATTACAGAGTTACTGCCCTTTGTTACTTTTCCTTGTCCACAGCATGACTTGAAAACTACTGGTTGGAATTCAAAACAACTTCATACAATGGTCAAGCACAATAAGGGGAAGTGCAGCTCACAAGAACCATAACTCCATCTTGACTAATTACAGAGTTATTGCCCTTTGTTACTTTTCCTTGTCCAGAGCATAACTTGAAAACTACTGTTTGGAATTCAGTACAACTTCATACAGTTGTCAAGGACATTAAAAGGAAGTGCAGTGCACAAGAGCCATAACTCCATTTTGACAAAATACAGAGTTACTGCCCTTTGATACTTTTCCTTGTCCGGTGCATAACTTAAAACATACTGGTTGGAATTCAAAACAACTTCATACAATGGTCAAGCACAATAAGAGGAAGTGCAGTGCACAAGAACTATTACTCTATCTTCAGTATTTATAGAGTTATTGCCCTTTGTTCTTTTTCTTTGTCTTTCTGGACTTATTACAGAGTAATTCAATTAAACTTCATCAATGGCCAACCACATTCAAAGGAAATGCAACATATATGAACAACAATTATCTTTAATTTCCCACAACCATAACTCTATGTTTCAATTCTTTTAAAAGGTATTCTGTTACTAGTAACATCCTCATTTCCGAAGCAGACTTGTGGGGGTATTAATCACATTTAGTGATAGTTCTAGTTTTTACCCAATCTTATTTAAGAAAAAAAGATACCCAGTCAAACTGAAATTCCTGATATTCAAACTGACAAATTTCATTCCAGTGTCATAAGGTAGTTTCAATAGGTACCAAATTTTTTTTTCAAATTATTTTAATAAGCAATTTTATGACGCAAAATTTCCCGCTATGGCTTAGGTGCTTATTCCTAATGGCTAGGAAAAGTCCTGGTCTAGCTGAATAAGTCATATGCCCAACATTATCAATCATTCTCATTAATAAGCTTTGAAGTTAATTAAGAGAGATTCTTTTGAATTCAATAAGATGTTATGGATAAACTACAATAATCAAATGGAAATTAAATCAAAGCAGGTATTTGAAAATCAAATAGCATTGGTCTGTTGACAGTGCGGCTATGATGGGGAAAAAAAACACCCAGATTGTGAAAGAAAAATTCATACAATTTTAAAAAATTCATACAATTTATTTCATGAAGGAATGGACTCAATGAAATTTTTCATCAACACTATCAATCTGAGGCTCATTAGTTTCTAAAATGTGCTTACAACTACAAAAATATTTGGTGCAGATTATGACACTTGAGGCCACAGCGTCTCTCTCTCTCTCTTTCATGTATATAATTTGCTTTCAGGAAAACCAAATCTTTCATCATTCGGATTATCTATTTTGAATCGATTTTAAAATTGAATTAAGTTTTTTGTTTCAAGGGCTTGCTGGAGAATTGATTAATGTCTTTCTACAATAATCAATATCATGTGAGAGTGAATAAATAATATATCCACGGGTGGCCATGATTCGTTACCCTAAGCAGCTTCTAACTTTTAATAATTCAAGCTTTCTATGTAAAAATGTAAAAAAAATGCAATTTTCAACTTGTGTTGCATATAGCTCAAAAAGTATTTGACCTAGGGTCAAGAAATTTTACAGGAATGTTGCTCAATATGTGAAGTTGGGTCCCTGGGGTTTTGCTTTTGGATTCATTCTGTTTTGTCAGAGTTAGGGCACTTGACTTAGTAAAATTTACAATTTTCAACTTATGCCACACATTGCTCAAAATGCATTTAACCTGCCTTTAGTCATGAAACTTTACAGGAATGTTGATTAGCATTTGTAGTTGTGCACCTGGGTGTTTGCATGTGGATTTATTCAGTAGATGTTGAAAAATTGCCCTTGACATTGCAAAAATTTGCAATTTTCAACTTGCATGGCATGTAGCCCGAAAGTGTTTGACCTAGGGTCATGAAACTTTGCAGGAATGTTGCTCTGCATGTAAAGTTGTTACCTAAGGTTTCGCTTTTGGCTTCATTCTGTTTTGTCAGAGTTATGGCCCTTGACTTTGTAAAACTTTACAATTTTCAACTTGTGTTGCATGTAGCCCAAAAAGTATTTGACCTATAGTCATGAAACTTTACAGGAATGTTGATAAGCATAATTATGCAGTTGTGCACCTGGGTGTTTGCATGTGGATTTATTCAGTATTTGTAGAAAAATTGCCCATGACAGTAAAATTTGCAATTTTCAACTTGTGTTCATGTAGCTCAAAAGTATATGACCTAGATAATGAAACTTTTCAGGAATGTTGCTCAGGGTGTGTAGTTGTGCACCTGGGGTTTCTTTTGTGGATTTATTGTGTTTTGTCAGAGTTATGGCCCTTGATTTAGCAAAAATTACAAATTTTCAATTTGTGTCGCACATAGCTAAACTACAGTCATGAAACTATAGGATCGAGGTAAGCATGACTTGTGTATTTGTGCACCAGGGGTTTCAGTTGTGGATTTATTCAATATTTCAACTTGCAATTTTCAACTTGTGTTGTGTATATCTCAAAAAGTATTTGACCTAGAGTCACAGAAACAGAGTTACAGAAACATTGGTCACATATGTCATTGTGCACCTGGGGTTTGATTTTTGATTTATTGAGTATTTGTAGAGTAATGACCCTTGACTTAGTAAAAACCATTCAAAAAAATTATTGAGTGCTTGAATTTACAGGAATGATGATTTGTTTAGAGTTATTGTCCTTGACTTTATAGTATAAATTATAGACTTGTTCATGCATAGCTCAGAAAGTATTTGACCTGCAGTCCTGAAAGTATACAAGAATGTTGGTCAGCATGTGTAGTATGGACCTTGTAGATTAATTCAGTACTTGTAATTGACTTAGTTAAATTTTTAGTTTTCAACTTGTGTCATGTGTAGCCCATAATGATTTGACCTAGAGTCAGTAGATTGACAAAACATTACAGTGTGGTGGACACATTTCTAGTTATTATTTGGATTTGTTATTTAATTATACCCCTTTGACTGCATTGGCATGCATAATGGCCAGATGATACTGCAGGCAACTGCTTATTGATATTATTTATAGGAATATTCTTTATCTTATTAGTTATCTCAGAAGTAAGGAGCCATACCCACAAAGTTAAAACTATTCCCCACCCCAAGGCTGAATTATAGATTGTAAAAATACACTTTCTTAGTGTTTTGAATTTAGTGAAGCATTCTTAAAGCTAGAAATTTATGAATTGCTTATATTGAAGTATACATGTTAAAAATTTCCAGATACTTTTTTTATGCAAACTGTGAATTTGTTTATGACATATAATTTTCTTTAGCTCCAATAAACAATATTTGATACACCAGATACAAAGTACTGATATTTTACAAACAATGCTGACCTGTCAATTCATTTACAGAGCAATAACAAAAAAACACACTTTTTTTGTATAGGCTGAACCTGCATTTTTTACATTTGTAGATGGACATCCACCCCAGATTTCTGTACCACAAGGAAATAAATGGTCTCAGACCAAAGTGTATGTAAGAAAGGCAAGTCCTAATAGATTTGAATGCCAGGCTACAGCAATACCTCAGGCAAAGTAAGTATAGTTTTGTCCATCTAACTGTTACAGAAAAATTCTGTTATTATGCTGCGTTTTTGAAACTTCAAGCACTCTTGCTAGAGAACATAATATGTCACTGTCCAAAGTTCATAACTGAATGACAGAATTATGGAGTTTTTTCCAGTGTAGAAAATTTTACATTATCCAGGTTTTTGTTTTACTATCAGGCACTGAGAGTAGTTGAGCACATTGCCCTACCAACAGCTTTTGTTCTTGCAGTGTTTTAGGAAGATAAGCCATACCATCAAGATTGGGAAATTTGACGTTTTGGTCAAATTAGGAAATTTGGTAACATCTTGCTTAAAATCTGGAACTTTGGCAATGGTTTGCACAAAATTAGAAAAATTGACATTATCTTGTTTGAATTACAGAAATTTGACATTTTATTGTTCAAATTAGGGAAATTTAACAGCAGCTCTTAAAATTGGGAAATTTGGCTGTGGTTTTGCTTAAAGGCACATTATTCCTTAGACATGAATACATTTTTTCTTCTTTAAAAACACTCAAACATGATTTTTATGTTGCCTCTACGGATAAGTGGCAACATATAGGGTCACTTCTCTGTCGTCTGTCTGTGACAAAACTTGTCTGGACTGGAGACTCTTGTTAAACTACTGGTGCAATTTCATCCAAACTTTACGGGAATTGTCAGTACCAAGTCTAGTTATGCATATCATCAGCATTTTCCGTTTCAATGATTTTTGTGTCGCCTCTACGGAGTAGTGGCGACATATAGGGATCACTTCTCCGTCGTCTGTCTGTCCGTCTGTCTGTCCGTCTGTCTGTCACAAAACTTGTCCGGACTACTCCTCATAAACTACTGGTGCAATTTCATCCAAACTTTACAGGAGTGATCAGTACCAAGTCTAGTTGTGCATATTGTCAGCATTGTCCGGTTCAATGATTTTTGGCAGAGTTATGGCCCTTTATTACATGCTTTTCGGTGGTTTATAGAAATATATCAGTGATATAAAACTGGTAATTTCACTGTTTGAAACAGTGAAATTACCACTTTGATAATTTCACTGTTTTGAATTTAAGCCCCTTACGTTGTTTCAGTGAAATACCAGCGTGCACAGTACTGGGTACCAACTTAATGATGTGACGTCGTAAACGACGTCACGTTGTATTATTATTTGGCGCGCTTTTCATTCAGTTTTAGGTTAAATGTCTTTTTAAAACGTTTCTTTGCATATAATAAAAAGAAAATTTGTTTAGTTTAGTGTAAGATTGAAATATATTTCACCTTGTGAACACCAAAAGTTCATATTTCACTCGTGGCTGCGCCACTCGTGAAATATACCTTTTGGTGCTCACTCGGTGAAATATATTCCGATCTTACACTGAACTAAACAAATATCCTCTATTTAATAATTTTTAATTTTAAAGTTTGTCCGGACTACTTCTCTTATACCACTTAAGCAATTTCAATGAAACTTTACAGGATTGATCTGTAGCTCAAGTCCTTGCGCATTGCAAGGGTTTTCCGGTGGAATGATTTTTGGCTGAGTTATGGCCCTTTGATAAAAAGTGTATTTTTCTGTGTGTTGCCAGATACACAAAAGCTTGTCCGGACTTCTCCTCATAAACTACTGGTGCAATTTCATCTAAACTTTACAGGAATGATCAGTACCAAGGGTAGTTGTACATATTATCAGCATTTTCCGGTTCAATGATTTTTGTCAGAGTTATGGCCCTTTAATAATTTTTATTTTTAAAGTTTGTCCAGACTACTTCTCTTATACCACTAAAGCAATTTCAATGAAACTTTACAGGATTGATCTGTAGCTCAAGTCCTTGCCCATATTGCACGGGTTTTCCAGTTGAATGATTTTTGGCCGAGTTATGGCCCTTTGATAAAAAAGTGTTTTTAGCTCACCTGTCACAAAGTGACAGAGTGAGCTTTTGTGATCGCTTTTCGTCCGTCGTCCGTCCGTCTGTAAACTTTTACTTTAAATGACATCTCCTCATAAACCACTAAGCCAAATTCATCCAAACTTCACCTGGGGTCAAAATTGGCACCGCCCCGGGGGTCATTGATTCTCCTTATATGTGTATAGCAAAAACTTAAAAAATCTTCTTTGAAAAAACCCAAATAGCTAGAGTTAAGATATTAAGCATGAAACATCTTTTAGTGAGTGTCTACAAAGTTTGTTCAAATAAAAGACCTGTGGTCAAAATTGGCCCCGCCCCGGGGGTCATTGATTTTCTTTATATGTGTATAGCAAAAACTTAAAATCTTCTTTGAAAAAACCCAAATAGCTAGAGTTTAGATATTAAGCATGAAACATCTTCTAGTAAGTGTCTACAAAGTTTGTTCAAATAAAAGCCCTGGGGTCAAAACTGGCCCGGCCCCAGGGGTGTCATTGTTTTTACTATATGTGTATAGTAAAAACTTTAAAAAAATCTTCTTTTAAAAAGCCCAATGAGCTAGAGCTTAGATGTTTAGCATGAAACATCTTCTTATGGGTGTCTACCAAGTTTGTGCAAATAAAAGCCCTTGGGTTAAATTGGCCCTGCAATGTTGGGGGGTGGGGGTTGGGTGGGCCTATATACAGGTGAGCCCATCATGGCCCTCTTGTTTCTGTGTGTTGCCAGATACGCAAAAGCTTGTCCGGACTACTCCTCATAAACTACTGGTGCAATTTTATCCAAACTTTACAGGAATGATCAGTACCAAGTCTAGTTGTGCACTGTCCGTCTGTCTGTCCGCCTGTCGCAAACTTTGTCCCAACATGAAATTGGCCATCATGAGGCGACACATGTGATTACTGATCGCTCTTGTTTTGTCTGAGTTACGGCCCTCTCATATTTTTAGCTCACCTGTCACAAAGTGACAGGGTGAGCTTTTGTGATCGCTTTTCGTCCGGCGTCCGTCTGTTCATCCGTCCGTCGTCCGTCCGTCCGTAAACTTTTACTTTAAATGACATCTCCTCATAAACCACTAAGCCAATTTCATCCAAACTCCACAGGAATGTTCCTTTGGTGGTCACCTTTAAAAATTGTTCAAAGAATTTAATTCCACGCAGAACTCTGGTTGCCATGGCAACCGAAAGAAATTTTTTTAAATATCTTCTTTTAAAAAACCATAAGAGCTATAGCTTAGATATTTGGCATGAAACATCTTCTAGTTAGTGTCTACCAAGTTTGTTCAAATAAAAGCCCTGGGGTCAAAATTGGCCCCGCCCCGGGGGGTCATTGATTTTCCCTAAATGCATATAGTAAAAACTTAAAAAATCTTCTTTTAAAGAACCCAAAGAGCTATGGCTAAGATATTGAGCATCAAACATGTTCTAATAGGTTTCTACCAAGTTTGTTCAAATAAAAGCCCTGGGGTCAAAATTAGCCCCGCCCCAGGGGGTCATTTTTTTTTTCCTATATGCATATAGTAAAAACTTAAAAAATCTTCTTTTAAAGAACCAAAAGAGTTAGAGCTAAGATATTTAGCATGAAACATGTTCTAATAAGTGTTTACCAAGTTTGTTCAAATAAAAGCCCTGGGGTCAAAATTGGCCCCGCCCCGGGGGGTCATTGATTTTCCCTTTATGCATATAGTAAAAACTTAAAAAATCTTTTTTTAAAGAACCAAAAGAGTTTGAGCTAAGATATTTAGCATGAAACATGTTCTAATAAGTGTCTACCAAGTTTGTTCAAATAAAAGCCCTGGGGTCAAAACTGGCCCCGCCCCGGGGGTCATTGATTTTCCCTATATGCATAATTAGTAAAAACTTAAAAAAATCTTCTTTTAAAGAACTCAAAGAGCTATGGCTAAGATATTTAGCATCAAACATGTTCTAATAGGTGTCTACCAAGTTTGTTCAAATAAAAGACCTGGGGTCAAAATTGGCCCCGCCCCGGGGGTCATTGATTTTCTTTATATGTGTATAGCAAAAACTTAAAATCTTCTTTGAAAAACCCCAAATAGCTAGAGTTTAGATATTAAGCATGAAACATCTTCTAGTAAGTGTCTACAAAGTTTGTTCAAATAAAAGCCCTGTGGTCAAAACTGGCCCGGCCCCAGGGGTGTCATTGTTTTTAACTATATGTGTATAGTGTAACTTAAAAAAAATCTTCTTTTAAAGAGCCCAATGAGCTAGAGCTTAGATGTTTAGCATGAAACATCTTCTTATGGGTGTCTACCAAGTTTGTGCAAATAAAAGCCCTTGGGTTAAATTGGCCCTGCAACGTTGGGGGGAGGGGGTTGGTGGGGGGGCTATATACAGGTGAGCGACCTCAGGGCCATCATGGCCCTCTTGTTTATTATGCTCTGCGAAAATTTTTGGGGGAACATAATATTATAGCAGGGATTATTTTTGGCTTATTTTATAGCCATTATTGGGTCATATTCCCAATTGAAAATAGTATATTATTTTCCCAATCCACAGGAAAAAATTCCCAATTGAAAGTTACAAAATAAAAATATTGAATAAAAATTCTAAAATCTTTGAAAATGAGGGCTTCTTCACTGTAATAGTGCTTAAATGTGTGAAGATGCCATCCTAGACAGTGATTGTTTGCATTCATTTAAACATTGCAAAATTTCAGTCATGCATTTTTTCCCAATTTTTAACAAAACACCGCTGAATATCCCAATTTCATGGGTATGGGTAATGTTCCCATAATCCTGGAAAAAATCCCTGTATAGTCGCCGGGTTGTACGTATGTCCCTTATTCGTGTCCGGCCCATAACTTCATTATTTGAAGCCGGATTAACAAGTATTTCACAGAAATTATCACCATATTGAGACGAAGTGTCGCATGCAACATTTGGGTTGCTACCTTGAAAGTCAAGGTCACAGCATGACCTTGCAGCAAAATCGTGTCCAGCCCATAACTTTGTTATTTGAAGTGGGATTTTACAACTATTTCACAGAAATGATCACCATATTGAGATGATGTGTCACATGCAACATTTCAGTTGTTTTTACACTTTGAACTTTGTCTCTGACATAACTCTGACACTATAAGAGGTATACCTTCATGTGTACAAAACCTATTTGGGGAGCATCACCCGTTTCAACCGGGTCTTGTTTTTCAAGTTTGCCCGGACTACTCCTCTTATACCACTTATGCAATTTCAGTGAAACTTTAGAGGATTGAACTTGTGCATACTGCATAAGTTTTCGCTTGAATGTTTTTCAGCTGATTATTGCCTTTGTAAAAAAGGTCTTTTGCCCTGTTAATGATTTTTTGGGTTTCCAGCTTCACAGTAGCTGCAGCATGCAATAATTGGCTATTATGAGGCGACACATGTCATCACTGATGGCCCTTTAACCTTTGAATAAAGGTTTAAGAGTACATTGTAGCCTTGATATATCGCTGTTTGTTATCAAGCCAATCTCATTATAGCGCCCATAGACCTTGGCTCCCAGAAAAAAAAAAAAAAATTTAGGTAGATATAGATTTACAGCGTGCTATAACGCTTGTTCAATTTGACATTCAAGTGGAATAAGCAATTGTAATTAGGAAATTTATGAGTGCCAAAGGATTGAAAAATATGCCCAGGTGAGCGTTTATCTGCTCTTTTGTTGTTTTACCTGTCCAACAGTCAGGCATCAAATTGTTTCCAAAATTTCAAATTCATATCATAACTGTGATATGGGCAACCGATGGTGAGTATAAATAAACTAAAATTCACACACATATCTGTGACATGTAAACCTCGCTGAATTAAATAACCCAAACAAGCCCAAAATCAATTTAAAATCCTGCACTGTAAATAGAACGGCGGTGACAGGAAGTAATTGGCGTTTGATTAAGTAGGGGACACAACTAAAGCTGGACTGTACACTGTTTAAGCTTTAGTTGTGTCCCCTAATTAATCAAACGCCATTACAGTAATGGCTAACTGTTTACACTACATTCATGATTTATGTTTTTCTTTCGAAAGTTTTTTGTTTCTTTTAAATATAATTAGTATTATTTGTGAATATATGTTTACATCATTGAATTGTTTTAGAAAAAGATAATGTTGATATTCATTGAACAGTAAGTAAAAATCGTCAGTGTTATAGATATATGCAGTTGGTGGGGTAATGCGGTAATTTCGCAATGAGCGTTCTAATGAGAGCCTCGTTAGAATGCGGTGTTGAGACATTGGACCCCCAACATGAGCAATATAATGAGGCTGTAGTGTATGTAACATGCTAATGACCTGACAATACAAAATATTAAATCACTTTAACTCTGCTGCTTGCAAAGAGCAACAGAAGCAAAAGATGGTTCAGGTAAATTGATAAAATTATTTTGAGAAGTAAAAATGACAAAAACCTACGGCATAATGGGCCTCTCAAGATAAAGTGTACATAAGTTTTGTATTCCTCTTAGAGCAGATTTCTGGATGCTGTGGAAAGGCAAAAAATATGGTACTAAAATTTGGCAAACTCCTCACAGCGGTTACGTCACGCTTTGCTACTTTAACCACTGCCACCACTGAAATCACGTGATGATAGTTGTATCATGTGACAAAAACATGGCGGCCAGTTTCAGAACGCCAAGGATCCCATATCAAACTGGCAGATTTATAATTACATCCTTACCAGACAAAATAAGTTCAAGACACACAATTTGTTATCACTTTAAAACAAGTGCCGGATCAAATCTTTTTGTGCAATCGTTCAATAACTGTTTATATTCTGCCATTGTTTACTGGTTGTTACTATGCATACGGTGTCACAGTGAAAATATCTTTCGTTATGTTTACAAAATAATTTTTATACGTATAATTTTTTACTTTCTTGTACATGAAGCATAACTATTTAACGAAAGAAAACTAAAATGATATAAAGTATTCTATTTTAAAATTAAAAGTGAAAAAAATATATCCGGCTATATTCGACCGAATTTACTTGTGGTGGCAGTGGTTACTGTACAGATCAGGGGAAGTAACCGCTGCGAGGAGTTTGAAAATTTGGAACTTGGAATAAATACATGTATTTATATAATTGAATCTTTTCATTTTTATTTTTTCTGTTGTAGATATTATTGGACTGTGAATGGGACAGCAATTGTTTCGGATGCTAGAGTAGTTGCATTTGACAAAGAGACGGGGACACTTACAACAGGGCCTCTATTTGGTGAATTACACACAGGAGATTATCAATGTTTTGCCTCCAATAAATATGGTACCGCTATGACACCAATCCTGAAAATCATAGCCACAGGTTGGTAGCATTGCTCACCTGAACACAAGTTTCTTTTTATCTTACTCTATGATAAATATTGATTTTCAATAATGTGCAAAGTTCTTATTCACTAATTTTAGCTTGACAGCAAGGCTATTTTATTTATTAAGGACTTTGGTATCTCTGTCCATGATAGTATCTGTTTATATTTTTATGTCTCCCAAAAACTTTGTTTTTGCCTTCTCTGTCTGTCCGTCCGTCAGCATTAAGCTTGTCCGCCCTTCACAGGTGAAACTACTGGTGGGATTTCAACCAAACTTTACAGGAGTGATCAGTACCATCCCTTGTTGTGCACATCATCGGCATGTTCCGCTTTTGCTGCACAAAATGGCCACCAGAGCTAAAATAGAAAAATCTTGTCCGCCTTTCACAGGTCAAACTACTTGTGGGATTTCAACCAAACTTTACAGGAGTGATCAGTTCCATCCCTAGTTGTGCACATCACCGGCACATACCCCTTCGCTGCACAAAATGGCCGCCAGAGCTAAAAACAGAAAAATCTTGTCCGGCCTTCACAGGTCAAAATACAGGGGGATTTCAACCAAACTTTACAGGAGTGATCAGTACTTGTGTACATCACAGACTGGTTCCCCTTCGTTTCACAAGATGGTCGCCAGAGCAGGGATCATCCTGGTCAGGATTTTTAGTGAGAGATTTTCTCTCATTTGAGAAATTTTGATGAGAGAAATTAGATTTTCTTGAGCGATATAATTTTCATGATGGGCGAGGTTAAAAATATGGAAATTTCTAACTTTTTAAAAATCACTGTACATATAAACATTGTTTATCTAATGAGGATATAAGAAGATGTAGCTCTGTTTATTACAGTGATTTTTGTTTTCACTTTTTAACACATCCTATGCCTTTTCTTTTGTGATTTTTTAAACATAATAAAATTCTAATTGTGAAAAATAAATATAACACCTTTATTCTGAAATATAAAAGAATTATACATGGATATCTACTACAACTATTATTTGCAGTCAATGTTCCTAATGGACAACACTGTACTGTACAGAAGTGATTGTTGAGATTTGAAGAATATTTTTGTAACCTTTCATTTTGTTTTCTTTATGATTCTCTTCACACACCTCCCTCCATTAAAAAATATACCTAACACATAATGACAAATATCTCCATATCTTATAATCCACAAATATAAACAATAACTAAAGTAATTTTTATTCATAAACATCATTTTTAGTGTTATAAAACACCTTTAAATAACACTCGGCTTCCTTTTAGAATTTTTTTTAATCACGACATCGCGAAAATATGTGACAAATGAATATTTGTCTGTTTTCCGCTGAAACATTCACAATTCTAGCTGTTGCTGATTGCAATTATATAAAATTAAATATTTTTGTTCAATAAAAGAACATTTATTATAGGCTATTTCATCAGGAATCGTAAAACAAAATTTTTAAATTTGTTCTTTACGGCAAAATTTACCGTGGTTGATGTGACATTTAGAAGACAAATTTTACCGGTAGATTTATTTTTGACATGTCCATTTTTATGTTAGTCTGTGTCTAAAATTTTTTATTAAAATCAATTAAAAGTGTTTTGTGTAAATTCTCGACTTACAGATAGATAAAGGTTAGCCATCATACCGTATTTCTGTACGGTGAATTTGCGGTCTCCGATCGGCAATTATTTTAGGCTAAATAATTCTTAGTGTTGGACTACTTTTTGGAGTTTTTTACACCGATTTCATTAATAAACAATTTGAAATTAAATTCTTGATGGGAATCGTGAATTTTTCATCATATTTTTGTGTAATTTTAGCATTCCTTAGATTGTGTTTAGACATTTTCCGGCTCAAATTGCCGTGCGAGATTTTCTCTCATTTCACAAATTTCTCTGAGATTTTGGTGATATTTTTGCGAGAAACCGCGGAAATCGCCCCCTAGAATGATCCCTGCCAGAGCTAAAAATAAAAAAAATCTTATCTGGCCTTCACATGTGAAACTACTGGTGGGTTTTCAACCAAACTTTACAGGAGTGATCGGTACCATCCCTGGTTGTGCACATCACCGGCACGTTTAGCTGCACAAAATGGCCACCAGAGCTAAAAATAGAAAAATGTTGTCAATCTTTCACAGGTCAAACTACTGATGGGATTTCAATCAAACTTTACAGGAGTGATCAGTAACATCCTTATTTGTGCACATCATAGGCACATTCTGCTTTGCTGCACATTCAAGGTCAACATTGTCTGTTTGAGGGTATATGTCGTGTCCGGTCCATAACTTTCTTAATTTTGAAGGGATTTTGTAAATACTTGCCACAATTGTCTCAATAATGAGATGATGTGTCATGTGCATTAACCAGTCACCTACCTCCAAGGTCAAGATCACAATATGAGTTCAAAGATTAACATAGTCTTTTAAAGGTTATAATTTGTGTCCAGTCCATAACCATTTCATAGATCAAAGGATTTTGAAAATACTTGGCACAAATAGTCACTATAATAAGATGATGTGTCATGTGCAACACCTGCATCCCTACCTCCAAGGTCAAGGTCACACTTAGAGGTCAAAAATTAACATAGTCTGTTATAGTCTGTTCTCTAACTTCTTCATAGTTCAAGGGATTTTGAAAATACTTGGCACAAATAGTTACAATAATAAGACAATATGTCATGCACAACACCCGCACCCCTACCTCCAAGGTCAATGTCACACTTAGAGGTTAAAGCTTAACATGATAGATTTTCAAATTCCGTTTTTCATTTAATTTCTTTAATAAATTTATTGTTGCATTTGCAGATCTAGCATTGATCATAATTTTGGGCTGAAAGTCCTGAGATCTATACCTCAATCTTTCGAAATAGCACCATTTTATGCTTCATATAAAACTTCCCTGAGGCAGGAGACGTTGATAATTCTGTTACAAATTCTTGTTAAAAAGAAGCCTTGGGGTTAATGTTGGCCTCTCCCAGGGTGTGATTGAAAACAAGATCTTTTAAAAACCCAAATAAACAAGTATTCTGACTCAGGTGAATGATTTAAGGCCATCTTGGCCCTCTTGTTCACACATGCAATTTTCTGTCAATTTGTAGTTTTCTCAGTACATGTTGTTAAATAAAATCATATTTAATTCTATTTTTGTTCAGTTGCCAATACGTTTAAAGGAACAGGGGTGTCAACAACAGATTTAGAGGCGGATGTTTCAAAATACTTTAAGTTGGAATGTAAAGATGTTCCCTATAGTGTTCCCCAGTGGCAGTTTGGCTGGCAGAAAGGAGTTTTAACGGTAATTATTATTTTATATTTTTGTTAAAATAATGTTTACAAATGGAAAAATAAAACAGAAAAATCTTATTATGCCCCCACTTCGAAGAAGAGGGGGAATATTGCTTTGTCGGTCCGTAGACCAAATGGTTTCCGATCAATAACTAAATAACCCTTAGGCCTAGGAACTTCAAACTTGATATGGTGATTGGTCATGACCAGGAGATGACTCCTATTGATTTTGGGGTCAAAGGTCAAGGTCACATTGACCTTGAAGGTAAAAACGGTTTCCGATCAATAACTAAAGAACCCTTAGGCCTAGGGACTTCAAACTTGATATGGTGATTGTTTATGATCAGTAGATGACCCCTATTGATTTTAGGGTCAAGGAGTCAAAGGTCAAGGTCATATTGACCTCTTAGGTAAAAATGGTTTCCGATCAATAACTAAAGAACCCTTAGGCCTAGGAGCTTCAAACTTGATATGGTGATTGGTCATGACCAGCAGATGACCCTTATTGATTTTGGGGTCAATGGGTCAAAGGTCAAGGTCACATTGACCTTGTAGGTAAAAACGGTTTGCGACCAATAACTAAAGAACCCTTAGGCCTAGGGACTTCAAACTTGATATGGTGATTGGTCATGATCAGTGGATGACCCCTATTGACTTTAGGGTCAAGGGGTCAAATGTCAAGGTCACATTGACCTCTTAGGTAAAAACGGTTTCCGATCAATAACTAAAGAACCCTTAGGCCTAGGAACTTCAAACTTGATATGGTGATTGGTCATGACCAGCAGATGACCCGTATTGATTTTGAGGTCAAGGGGTCAAAGGTCAAGGTCACATTGACCTTGTAGGTAAAAACTGTTTCCCATCAATAACTAAAGAACCCTTAGGCCTAGGAACTTCAAACTTGGTATGGTGATTGGTCATGATCAGTAGATGACCCCTATTGATTTTAGGGTCAAGGGGTCAAAGGTCAAGGTCATATTGACCTCTTAGGTAAAAACGGTTTCCGATCAATAAGTAAAGAATGCTTAGGCCTAGGAACTTCAAACTTGGTATGGTGTTTGGTCATGACCAGCAGATGACCCCTATTGATTTTGGGATCAAGGGGTCAAAGGTCAAGGTCACATTGACCTTGTAAGTAAAAACGGTTTCCTATCAATAAAGATAGAACGCTTAGGCCTAGAAACTTCAAACTTGGTATGATGATTGGTAATGGCCAGCAGATGACCCCTTTTGATTTTGGGGTCAAGGGATCAAAGGTCAAGGTCACATTGACCTTGTAGGTAAAAACGGTTTGCGATCAATAACTAAAGAACGCTTAGGCCTAGAAATTTCAAACTTGGTATGATGATTGGTCATGACCAGCAGATGACTCCTATTGATTTTTGGGTCAAGGTGTCAAAGGTCAAGATCACATATACCTTGTAGGTAAAAACGGTTTCCAATCAATAACGATAGAACGCTTAGGCCTAGAAACTTCAAACTTGGTATGATGATTGGTCATGGCCAGCAGATGACCCTATTGATGGGGTCCAAGGTCAATGTCACATTGACCTTGTAGGTAAAAATGGTTTGCGATCAATAACTAAAGAATGCATAGGCCTAGGAACTTCAAACTTGGTATGATGATTTGTCATTCATGACCAGTAGATGACCTCTATTGATTTTGGGGTCAAGGGGTCAATGTCATCTTGACCTTGTACTTAATGACGGTTTCTGACCAATAACTCAACAACTCAAGTTGCCTTGGTTGATATTTTTATATTAAACTAAAAATGCTTTTGGTATACACATTTGAAGGTCTTATGTAATATAACAACTTGGCTGTCATTAATGAGGCCTACATGATTCATAAAATTTATGCATATATTATTTGATAAGATTTGTAATAACTTAAATTGCTTCACACAACCTATGGGGTCACAATTATTATTACATATTTATGACCAGTAGATACTAGATAACTGATAACCCTTATTAATTGTTTGTTCACTGGGTCAGAAGTCCTGCATAATAACCTGATCACATGACGAAAGTAAAGCTAGAAAGTCCTATATGAGTTTAAAGTAAAGCAAGAAAGTCCTTCATAAGCTTTACAGTAAAGCTAAGTCCTTTATGAGTTTAACGTTAAGCTAGAAAATCCTATAAGAGCTTTACTATTAAGCTAGAAAGTCCTATATGAGCTTTTCAGTTAAGCTAGAAAGTCCTACATGAGCTTAACAGTTAGCTAGAAAGTCCTATATGAGCTTTACAGTAAAGCTAGAAAGTCCTATAATATTATGAGTTTCACAGTCAAGCTAGGAAGTCCTATATGAGCTTACATTTAAGCTTGAAAGTCCTATATGAGCTTAACAGTTAAGCTAGAAAGTCTAATATGAGATAACATAAAGCTAGAAAGTCCTATATGAGCTTTACAGTTAAGCAGGAAAGTCTTATATGAGATTTACATTTAAGCTAGAAAGTCCTATATGAGCCTTTAGTAAAGCTAAATAGTCTTATATGAGTTTAAAGCTAGATAGTCTTATATGAGCTTTACAGTAAAGCTAGAAAGTCAAATATGAGCTTTTAGGTAAAACTAAATAGTCATATATGAGCTTTGGTTTAGCTAGAAAGTCCTATATGACCTTAAAGTTAAAGCTAGTAAGTATTATATGAGCTTTACAATGAAGCTAGAAAATCCTAAATGAGCTTTACATTTAAGCTAGAAAGTCCTATATGAGCTTTACAGTTAAGCTAGAAAGTCCTATATGAGCTTTACATTTAAGCTAGAAAGTCCTATATGAGCTTTACAGTTAAGCTAGAAAGTCCTATATGAGCTTTACATTTAAGCTAGAAAGTCCTATATGAGCTTTACAGTTAAGCTAGAAGTCCTATATGAGTTTTACATGTAAGCTAGAAAGTCCTATTTGAGCTTTACAGTTAAGCTAGAAAATCCTATATGATCTTTACAGTTAATCTAGAGAGTCCTTTAGGAACTTTACAGTTAAGCTAGAAAGTCCTATATGAGCTTTACAGTTAAACTAGAAAGTCCTATATGAGCTTTACATGTAAGCTAGAAAGTCCTATATGAGCTTTACAGTTTAGCTAGAAAGTGCTTTATGAGATGTACAGTAAAGCTAGAAAGACAAAATATTTATGAGCTGTACAGTAAAGCTAGACAGTCCTTTATGTGCTTTACAATAATGCTTATAGTTTTGTTAGGACCTTGTCAAATGTTGATATAACTTAAATATTTATTTCTGTAAAATCAAAATCATCGCTCAACTCTGATGTTTTTCAGAATGGAAAATTGGTAGCAAACCCAGTTATATTAACGGAAAGATTTGCTATTGATAAAAAAGGTAGGGTATATTTTCACCAACTTATTGTAATTGTTATAAATAGAAAAACTTGTCAATTGAGATGCTTAGTTTCAAATGGCACATACTTTACGAGCTTAAAGGGATCAGAATATCAGTTTTGGAAGTTATAATACAAACCGCAATTTTGATAGGATGTTTTGATATTAATTTTGTACAGATATATGACATTACTGTTTAGCAGCATTTGACTTGGATGATTTTTACATTAATAGACAAGTTTCAAGATTTTAATTCGTTTAAGGAATTGTCTAATTAACCATGACTGACAAAGCTTTTTTTGCTAGCACTTACAGAAAAGCAGAATGCTTTCAGATTTTTGTTGAAGTCTATACTTTGCTTTGACTGTAAATGATGAGAAGTTGCCACCTGTTTAGAACACAGGTGTTAACACGTTTTTTGTTTTTTAGCTCACCTTGCACAAAGTGCAGGTGAGCTTTTAGGATGGCCAACCAAATGGCGTCCGTCGTCTGTCGTCCGTCCACATTTTAAATATTCTAAGGACATCTTCTATGATACCGCAAGGCCAATGTTAATGAAACTTGGCAGGAATACTCTTTGTAAGAAGCTCTATCAAGATTGTTCAAAGAATTCCATTTCATGCAGAACTCTGGTTGCCATGGCAACCGAAAGAAAAATCTTTAAATATCTTCTTTTAAAGAACCGTTAGAGCTAGAGCTTAGATATTTGGCATGAAACATCTTCTAATGAGTGTCTACCAAGTTTGTTCAAATAAAAGCCCTAGGGTCAAAATTGGCCCCGCCCCAGGGGGTCATTGATTTTCCCTATATGCATATAGTAAAAACTTAAAAAATCTTCTTTTAAAGAACCCAAAGAGCTAGAGCTAAGATATTTGGCATGAAACATCTTCTAATGAGTGTCTACCAAGTTTGTTCAAATAAAAGCCCTTGGGTCAAAATTGGCCCCGGCCCGGGGGGTCATTGATTTTCCCTATATGCATATAGTAAAAACTTAAAAAATCTTCTTTTAAAGAACTGTAAAAGCTAGAGCTTAGATATTTGGCATGAACCATCTTCTAGTGAATGTCTTCCAAGCTTGTTCAAATAAAAGCACTGGGGTCAAAATTGGCCCGCCCCAGGGGGTCATTGATTTTCCCTATATGCATATAGTAAAAACTTAAAAATCTTCTTTTAAAGAACCCAAAGAGCTAGAGATAAGACATTTAGCATGAAACATCTTCTAATGAGTGTCTACCAAGTTTGTTCAAATAAAAGCCCTGAGGTCAAAATTGGCCCTGCCTCAGGGGGTCATAGATTTTCCCTATATGCATATAGTAAAAAGTTAAAAAATCTTCTTTTAAAGAACCCAAAGAGCTAGAGCTAAGATATTTGGCATGAAACATCTTCTAGTAAGTGTCTACCAAGTTTGTTCAAATAAAAGCCCTGGGGTCAAAATTGGCCCCGCCCCGGGGGGTCATTGATTTTCCCTTTATGCATATAGTAAAAAATTAAACATCTTCTTTTAAAGAACCGTAAGAGCTAGAGCTTAGATATTTGGCATGAAACATCTTCTAGTGAATGTCTACCAAGTTTGTTCAAATAAAAGCCCTGGGGTCAAAATTGGCCCCGTCCCAGGGGGTCATAGATTTTCCCTATGTGCATATAGTAAAAACTTAAAAAATCTTCTTTTAAAGAACCCAAAGAGCTAGAGCTAAGATATTTAGCATGAAACATCTTCTAATGAGTGTCTTCCAAGTTTGTTCAAATAAAAGCCCTGGGGTCAAAACTGGCCCCGCCCCAGGGGTCATTGATTTTCCCTATATGCATATTATGAGTAAAAACTTAAAAAATCTTCTTTTAAAGAACTCTAAGAGCTAGAGCTAAGATATTTAGCATGAAACATGTTCTAATGGGTGTCTACCAAGTATGTTCAAATAAAAGCCCTGGGGTCAAAACTGGCCCCGCCCCGGGGGTCATTGATTTTCCTTATACGTGTATAGCAAAAACTTAAAAATCTTCTTTGAAAAAACCCAAATAGCTTGAGTTTAGATATTATACATGAAACATCTTTAAGTAAATATCTACAAAGTTTGTTCAAATAAAAGCCCGGGGGTCAAAACTGGCCCTGCCCTAGGGGTGTCATTGTTTTTAACTATATGTGTATATATATAGTAAAAACTTAAAAAATCTTCTTTTAAAAAACCCAATGAGCTAGAACTTAGATGTTTAGCATGAAACATCTTCTTATCTTCAAATAAAAGCCCTTGGGTAAAAATTGGCCCGGGGGGGGGGCGGCCTATATACAGGTGAGCGACCTCAGGGCCATCATGGCCCTCTTGTTTTATAGTGTGTCTAGCGCCTGTGGTTTAGAGCCTCGCCAGCCTTCACGTTCATTAGATATCAATACTGTATTCCTAGAAAAGATTTCGCGCGTTTTAAGTTAGCGCTTTTCGCGGTAGGCATGATTCCGCAAATCTTTATAGCCGTGAATATGTCACTTATAACAAATCTGCGAACATTTCCAGCTTCAACCAAATAAAGACGTAAATGTGCACAATATTCATTGTAATCTACTTACACATAAAACATATTTAAACACAAGTGCTATAGAAATGTGTGAAGAATTATATTTGTATGTTATAGATACCTGTTTGGACCCTGGAAAAAATGTCAATTATTATTGAAAAGCTATCAAGAAACGTAGCGCTTTAGGCGCGACTTGTCAAAAAAATAAAAGAATTAAAAGTACCCAACAGGCAAGGTCATGCCTCCATAAACTGTAATTTAGGCCGTAGCGACTTGATGATTTTGGAATTCGCGGTTACTACAAATCCGCGAAAACGCCGACGTTGTGAAAAACGCAAACTATGTATCTGCGAACATTTCTAGGAATACAGTATATTTTTCTTAACTGCAAAAAAAATATTAGAAAATAATTGTTATTATATTTTATATTATATTTCAGGAAATCTTCATTTTCTGTGGGCTGAAATTTCAGACAATGGTTATATCTATGGGTGTTCTACAGTCAACAATGTTTTACTCATAGAAGTTAGTAATACACAGACAATCCGACTTACTGTGAATGATGGTAATTAAATGTTTTTGGTACATTATTTATTGTGCAAGACACAGACACTTGGGGGTCAGATCCTGCCCCCCAACATGATACTGCGAATTCACTTAAATTCGTGGGCATGAAATTTCGTGGTTTTATCAAAAAGGGCATTTTCGTGGGTTCTTAAATTCGTGGATTTTCGTTTTCTTGTTAAAAAAAAAATTTAGTAACCTAATGCAAAATAATCTTAAACTTAATCGCCGAACATTTTTACTTACAACATGTACATATCTTTACTTGTCACACAGCGCTTGTCAATAAATTTAATCCTTGCCTCTGGGCGTAACTAATATAGCACAGTTACTGCCGATAATTGACTGCAATTAACACATTTATGTGACATGATATACACACTGCCCCTGTAATTCGCCGATGTAAACATCGCATAATTTATACGACACCTGACAGGTTTTAACCAGCGAGTTTAAAAGTTTACACCCTGAATTGGTCTTAACATATTTGACAGTAACTACACGCAACGTCACAGCGACTGTGTAAATTTACATGCATATAAATTAATCTCGGTAAATAACACGAGTATGTGTGGATCTTGTATACCTTGTAAAAGTCGGTGGCGTCTTTGATGTTGACGGAATAGCATTCGCACAAATACAGATTAAAATTCATATAAACTGGATCATTTAAAACGACAAAAGAATGTACAATAAATCTGTTTTAGCGATCGTATTTTTTTTATAGTTTTGTGTACTTACGACATTAATATCAAAGACTTTTTTTTAATAAATAAGAGCAAACTGACAATTTTTATTAGCGCTAATTATTGCACTGCCTGTTAATAAATAAGAGCAAACTGACAATTTTTATTAGCGCTAATTATTGCACTGCCTGGGTTCCCATATTTACTCGATTATGTCAAGTATTCTTGTTGACACAATCAAGTCCTAGTAGACTACAACGATCAAGTACGTATATGCGACATTTGTGACAGTAAATTGAGGACATATAATCGAGTTTTCTTTCAAGTTTCTTAAATATTGTAAACGGATTTAATATGTCACTAACCTGATTATCTGTCTGTATATACATCCATTTCACGAAATATCGGTCGGAAAAGAGCCGACGCATGTTTGTAATATATAGAACAAAGACTGGGTAAGAAGTATTTGTTGGGATAAAAGTTCGTGGGATCTTAAATTCGTGGATTGACCTACCCACGAAAACCACGAAAATTCGTGCCCCACGAATAATAATGATTTTACAGTACGCCCCTATAAGCACTCTATCAAAACTGTTTTAATATTTAAACATGAATGGGACATCCATTACAACGATAAAAATGGTTTACAAACAATTTTTACATATATGAAAACAATTCCGTATACCATCAAGTCTCAATAAAGTAAAGATTGCAGACTCCAAAATGTAAACATGATTACCCTAGACTTATAAAACCTTATAAATCATTATTAAATAAACCTTACGGTGACTTTTCCAGTGATAATCAATAGAAAATAGAATTATCTCCTAGATATAAACATTTATACATCTCTTTTTAATATGAAAATCAACATTTAATTATAATCGAAAGTAAATTTTGATTTCTGTCTAACCAATACGCGAAATGTCCCCGGCTCTGCGTGGAGCGCTTGTCAAGCCGGTACCCAAACAGTGTACATGCTTTCAACTACTCGCACATTCTATCGACATGTCAAAATTCAAATATTAATATTGTACATTATATAGAATAAAAAAAACACTCTGTGCATCTTGGTAATAGTTTTATTACATATAAATGTCTTTTAAAAGAGCGCTTGCAGCCAGCTAACACGAGGGACATGATGTATAGAAAAAATGAAATCAATAGCGAAACATTTTTTTATATGTAACATTCAATTAAAAACAATCTGATTCGGATATCTGGATATCTGGATGGCTGTTTCGGCTTCAGATGACATCCCTACAAAATAGAGCATGCTGAGAAATCTCCATTTAATCATTTTTGATTTGATTTATGTACTGTATGTGTATTTAAATTTGCGGAAGCAAATTTTCGCGGAAAGGTCCATTTTGGGGGTATATACACACATTCGCGCTATTTTGAATTTGCGGAGATGACTGCCGAAAAAATCATAAATTCGCGTACACCCATCAGGTTAAAAAATAAGGGAAATTACTCTTACACGATTAAGCAATGGTTTTCACAAGCAACCTTTCATTTTACATACTTTTTACTGAAATCATTGTGGGACTTCACAGTTATTTTCAACACCTGGTGTCAAACAATACGCTATTGTACAGAACAAAGACATTTAATTTGTCTAGAGGACAGATTATGGCAAACAAAAGAATGTCTGTTAATGTACGTAATTTTTCACAGTTTTAAACAGCACTGAACGAGACAATAATCTTTTCACCGATTTTGTTAAAATGTTTTTATTCCATGTTGTCATCAGTTAAAATCGTTAATGTTTGTGTTGTTTGTAATGTTTGTTTAGAAAATCAAAATATAATCTGATCAGATGTCAAGACGTTTATGACTCAGACTATGAAATATTTAGTGTGATGCAATGGTATTGTTCAAACATGTATATACTTATACAAGAATCTGATAATCATATCAGTCAAACAATAATACACTAGCAATCTGATTTATATACAGAGCTGAATGTTACATGTACAGTTTATACAACAGTAAAATCACTCTTTGAAAGCACCACGGATACCAGACTTATGGCAACTCTGAACACACTGAGGCCATCCTTAAAAAAATGTTTGTTTACAGTAACGCGACCAACTCACAAAATTTGCCCCTACTCAAAAATTTTTTCATGGTCTGAAAAAAAAAATATTTTTTTTTAATCAGAAAATTATGCCTTGTGCTTTGTTTTCGTTCTTTTAAAGGTTAATAGAAGAAATAAAATGTAGGTCTTATTAAATTAAAATTCAGTTATCAAGTTATTAATTGTTACCAGATTATCAAAGCATATATTGTCCAGCATTTTGAAATTCCATGTTTATTTGTGAGTACACATCAATAAAAAAAAAAAAAAATCGACCTACCTACCCACCTGGAAAATTGTGGGTCAGGTTACTGCAAACAATTTTTTTTTAAGGATGGCCTGATATACATTGTTCTATATATGCGCAAAAATATGACTATTAACAAATCATTGGTGTAGAAATATTCGCGCTGAACATGAATTTGCGGATCAAATGTCACCTGAAAATTTCTGAAAAGATCCTGAAAATTTGAAGCCCGCAAATATTTCTACACATACAGTATTTAGTGTATAATGTTTAATATTTTACAGGTGAAGTTGGTGATCGTCAGCCAGAGTTGAAGTATCATGAAGATGTGCAAGTGCTTGCCGGGGAAGATGCTGAACTTATGTGTATATTTACATACTATTCTAAAGCAGGGTATGTTATTTGTGGTACACCACACTCTACCTGTCTTATTACCAACGCCTCACCAAACTTCTCAATCCTACAACTGTTTTTGTTTGTGATCTGCTTACCCTACTTCTTGTGCGAATGACTTGTATACTATATCTACTTGTTCTGACTGACTCAACTTTGCTGTTCTGTTTGTGATGTCGTTACCTATTTCTGCCCCTCATCCACCCATCCTAATTAGAAGCCTTCCACCTCTATTCCCCCACCCCTACCCGACTTGCCCAATTCAATGTTCAATTTCTTTTATTGATAATGTTACCCACCATTGCCATTTATCCATTCAATCCTATCCAATAACTTGCATACATCGGGGTTCGCACAGGTCTTGAAAAGTGCTTGAAATCGATCTCTGTCTTAAAAACTGCTTGAATTGAGGCGTCCATGAAAAAGTGCTTAAAAAGGGCTTGATTTTGAAATAAATCCTTGGTAATCTCTGATTCTTGTAAAAAAAAAGTGATCATCAATTAACAAGGAAATTTAAATCATTTTTGTTCAAAATGGAAAGGAAAATTTGCCCCAAATTTTTATTTACCCATATATGTTACCAATGTTTATGAGTACGAAATGAACAGAAAATGTGCTCTTCGTCATAGGTAAATGTATACATGTGTACAATGTCATCACTTTTCCCATTACCAGTTTTCACGAGTATAAACAAAAAGTAAACTTTGAAAATTATGGATAAAAAAGTCTAATGTAAATGTAAATTCTTGCTCAAGTTGCTTCAAGATTATCCATCAGTTATCATTATAAAGTAATGTTTGAAATGCCCATTGCAGAATGCTGGCGGATATGCATGAAGATAATTATACCCCCACCACAAAATGTGGGGGGGGGGGGCTATAATGGATTCGCTTTGTCGCGTCGGTCGGTCAGTTGGTCGGTCGGTCCGTCCGTCTCCATTTTCGTGTCCGCTCTATAACTCCTATACCACTTGAAGGATTTTCTTCAAACTTGGCTCAAATGTTCACCTCAGCAAGGGGATGTGCAGAACCCATGTTGCCCATGTGTCAGCTCAAGGTCAAGGTCACAATTGAAGGTCAAATATCAAACACAATCATATATTAGACAGTATGTCGTGTCTGCTCTGTAAGTCCTACAATAATTGAAAGATTTTCTTCAAACTTGGTTCAAATGTTCACCTCAACAAGGGGATGTGCAGAACTTATGTTGCCCATGTGTCATCTTAAGGTCAAGGTCACAATTGAAGGTCAAATCAAACAATCAAATATTACACAATATGTAGTGTCCGCTCTGTAAGTCCTACACTAATTGAAAGATTTTCTTCAAACTTGGTTCAAATGTTCACTTCATCAAGGTGCAGAACCCATGTTGCCCATGTGTCATCTTGAGGTCAAGGTCACAATTGAAGGTCAAATATCAAACAATCAAATATTACGCAGTATGTCGTGTCCGCTCTGTAAGTCCTACACTTATTGAGAGATTTTCTTCAAACTTGGCTCAAATGTTCACCTCAACAAGGGGATGTGCAGAACCCATGTCACCCTTTTGCCGGCTTAAGGTCAAGGTCACAATTGAAGGTCAAATATCAAACAATCAAATATTACGCAGTATGTCGCATCTGCTCTGTAAGTCCTTCACTAATTTAGAGATTTTCTTCAAACTTGGCTCAAATGTTCACCTCAACAAGGGGATGTGCAGAACCCATGTCACCCTTTTGCCGGCTTAAGGTCAAGGTCACACTTGAAGGTCAAAATTTTACTTAGAAAATGTTCTTAAATTTTAACATATATCTGAATATTTCTGAATCTAGGAAAGGTATTTGGTTGAAACTTAAAATATATATGAAATGTCACAATTAAGATATGCTGGTCAAGTTTCATAACTCTGTATTGCATTTAAACAAAGTTATGCCCCTTTTTAATCTTCAAATTTACATACAATCACATATTAGACAATATGTCGTGTCCGCTCTATAAATCCTATACTAATTGAAGAATTTTATTCAAACTTTACTCAAATGTTCACCTAAACAAGGTTATGTGCAGAATCCATGTCACCTTTGTGCAGTCTAAAGGTCAAGGTCAAAAATTGACTTAGAAAATGTTCTTAGATTTTAACATGTTCTTGAATATTTCTGAAACTAGCGCAGGTATTTGCTTGAAACTTAAAAAATATATGAGGTGTCACAATTACGATATGCAGGTCAAGTTTCATAACTCAGTATTGCATTTTGACAAAGTTATGCCCCTTTTTAAGTCTTTAAATTTACATACAATCAATACTAGAATATATGTTGTGTCCGCTCTATAAATTCTATACTAATGGAAGGATTTTCTTCAAACTTTACTCAAATGTACACCCCAATTGGGCGATGTGCAGAACCCATCTTACCCTTGTGCCAGCTTAAGGTCAAGGCCACACTTGAAGGTCAAAAATTGACTTACAAAAAGTTTAGTATATTGGGAAAATGAAAGGTTATTTGTAACTGTTTCGAACATGATTTGATAATAGATATTTATACTATTACCTGTACAATTAGTCTTTTTTTCACCAGAGATAATTTCTTTTTATGTATTTGTGCCACTTAAGTTATTTCCTTAACCACCTTTCCAAGTCGTCTTCTGTCAAGGACATTGGTGGGGGTATGAATCGCATTCAGCGATAGTTCTAGTTAAAATAAATGGTAAACATGTATAGGAGGATGTGAAAGTGCATTAAGTATTAGAGAAGCAATACATGTAATAGAGGAAACTTGCTGAAGGAAAATGCAGGACAAATGACCGTGATAAGGTGTCTGAAGTGTACAATTTGCTTTTAGAAAGAAATCTTTGCTTGACACTTCGATTCTTTGCAGGAACTCTATTGCGGCACGTGTCTAACTGTCCTTGAAAATGCAAAATTGGCCGTAAAAAAGTCCTTGAAAAGTGCTTAAAGTTATTTGACAGATTTCTGTTTGAACTCAGATACTGCCTGCACTGTTTAACCTCATTTCATTGCTTTCATTCATGTTTGTCATCTGCACAATTCTTACATCCATGTCAAACTATCTTCAATATAGATTACATATCAGGTATTTCACCTTTAAATTTGAAAAATCTGCATCCATACAACCTTACAACAAGTCAGTGTGCTCTCCATTTTCTATCATTTTACATAGAAAATTATTAAAAAGAAATAATGAAAACTTGATCCTCTATTTATATAGCACTATTTTATCATATAGGTCTATAATTTTACAACTTAATTCACAAAATAGGAGTGCGATTTTACCATAAAGTCAGCACAATGATGTGATTTCAAAGCAAAATGACTTAAAGAACACCTAAGCAACATTTTCTAGCATCATTCCAAGCACTAGAAAAGATAAGTATGATGCAAAAGAATGTTTTAATTTCAAAAGGAAAAATTAAAAAATACGTTCTGACTATGGGGTTATACTTTTCTTTCGATTTTGTAGAGATAAACTGAAGATAGATTGGTTAAGAAATGGAGTGAATGTAGGAACAGGATACAAACTCAATTTAGATAATGTTTTGTTACCTGATGATAAACAGAATATGGAGGGTGAATACATGTGCGAGGCCAAGCTCGGTAGTGGTAGTTCAGTTTACGGAAGAGTTAACCTGAAGATAGTTGGTGAGTCATTTACTGTTTGCTCGTTCTATTGTTTCGTTTCAAAATTGCCACAGATGTGGAAAACAAAATACTGGACTTTGAGAAAATCACAGATTTTTATCAATTGATGAATTTTTTGGAGGAAAAATATTTTATCGTCACTGGAACAGTTTTGTTGCTGAATCACATGGTTGTGATAGTAATTTGCTTTATACAGAAACTTGCCAAAGTATAATTATAATTATGCCCCCATTTCGAAGAAAAGGGGGTATATTGCTTTGCACTTGTCGGTCCGTCGGTCCGTCGGTCTGTCGGTCCGTCGGTCCGTAGACCAAATGGTTTCCGAGTGATAACTAAAGAACCCTTAGGCCTAGGAACTTCAAACTTGGTATGGTGATTGGTCATGACCAGTAGATGACCCCTATTGATTTTGGGGTGAAGGGGTCAAAGGTCAAGGTCACATTGACCTTGTAAGCAAAAACGGTTTCCGATCAATAACTAAAGTACCTTAAGGCCTAGGAACTTCAAACTTGGTATGGTGATTGGTCATGACCAGTAGATGACCCCTATTGATTTTGGGGTCAAGGGGTCAAAGGTCAAGGTCACATTGACCTTGTAAGCAAAAACGGTTTCCGATCAATAACTAAAGAACTTTAAGGCCTAGGAACTTCAAACTTGGTATGGTGATTGGTCATGATCAGTAGATGACCCCTATTGATTTTGGGGTCAAGGGGTCAAAGGTCAAGGTCACATTGACCTTGTAAGCAAAAACGGTTTCCGATCAATAACTAAAGAACTTCAAGGCCTAGGAACTTCAAACTTGGTATGGTGATTGGTCATGATCAGTAGATGACCCCTATTGATTTTGGGGTCAAGGGGTCAAAGGTCAAGGTCACATTGACCTTGTAAGCAAAAACGGTTTCCGATCAATAACTAAAGAACTTCAAGGCCTAGGAACTTCAAACTTGGTATGGTGATTGGTCATGATCAGTAGATGACCCCTATTGATTTTGGGTCAAGGGGTCAAAGGTCAAGGTCACATTGACCTTGTAAGCAAAAACGGTTTCCGATCAATAACTAAAGAACTTTAAGGCCTAGGAATTTCAAACTTGGTATGGTGATTGGTCATGATCAGTAGATGACCCCTATTGATTTTGGGGTCAAGGGGTCAAAGGTCAAGGTCACATTGACCTTGTAAGCAAAAACGGTTTCTGATCAATAACTAAAGAACTTCAAGGCCTAGGAACTTCAAACTTGGTATGGTGATTGGTCATGATCAGTAGATAACCCCTATTGATTTTGGGGTCAAGGGGTCAAAGGTCAAGGTCACATTGACCTCTTGGGTAAAAACGGTTTCTGATCAATAACAAAAGAACCCTTAGGCCTAGGAACTTCAAACTTGGTATGGTGATTGGTTATGACCAGCAGATGACCCCTATTGATTTTGGGGTTAAGGGGTCAAAGGTAAAGGTCACATTGACCTTGTAGGTAAAAACGGTTTCCGATCAATTAACTAAAAACGCTTAGGCCTAGGAACTTCAAACTTTGTATGATGATTAGGGTTGGATATCGTTCCTCACGAAACGGTCCGATACCGATACCGGTACTGACGAAACGATACGGGTATTTTATCGATACTGATACTGATACTTTTACAATACCAAACCCGTTGCTGCAAGTATAACAACTGAAGAGATATAACATGTAGTAATAGAAAATAAATATGTTACATTACTGGTCTTTCTGAAATTTCATGCTGTAAAGTATACTTTTCTTTTGTTGTTTTGTGTTTACTTTTTTTTACAACATTTACACATGTTAATTGTAAAATACTTTTACTTTTTCATCAAAAGAACATGACATAATTTAAACACAGCAACATATCTTATGCAGGACAGCAGTCTGCAGCTGAGAAGTCTACAAATTATTGTTTTAATCTTGATATCTCTACATCTGAAAGAATTTAAGACAGTTGGTTATCTATCATTTTCTTACAGCTATTATTATTACTGTGTAGAAATTTTATTCTGATGCTGATATTCTTTTTCAATCACATTATTGGTTACTGTAATAAATGAAATCACTGGATTGGTTGGCTTACTTTGCAATTTGGAATTACATGTAAGAAATTTCATTAGATGTTTTTTCAAAGTCACTTATGTTTCCAGTCTGTTCTACTACAACAGCACAAACATATTTTCCACCAGTAATTAACTTAGAAATTTTGAAATACATGTATATGCACAGTCAGCACAGACTGTTTCCAAAATGACTTGTTTACATTTTCATGTTAACCTAATATTAGTCCTTGTAGAAGTCATAAAGCAAATACCTATGCTTTACAAATAATAAGGATTTGGTATTTATTAATATTGAATTTACCTTTCAATTTTATACATCTTTTATTTTTCAATAGCATGCACCGTGAACATCTTGCTACAGAAAGAAAGGGTATTGTCCTTACCAAATTGCATAATTCCATACTGCTCAAATACGCAAAAATACTAGCCAACATTTGCAAAAAAATCCTACAAAACACTATATGAAATATGTTTTAGTTGTTTAAAGTATCACAGATCTAAATGTGTAATACACACAAGTTGACCTTTGACAGGTGCATAATAGGCTATTCAAAAGAATATGCCTCCCTTTGATGTTGTTACTCTATCACCATCAGAGAGCCGCCGACATTCACACTTTTTGATTGAAGTTCTGTCGGCATTCTTTTGTTAAGAAAATGTATACATGTTTAATAATAGTTCAGTGTTACACCAAAAACAAAAGGAGGCATATTTTGTTGGAATATTTCGGCCTCATTTATGTTAAAATCGTAATTCACGTGTGGATTTGTACATGTGGTAATGGATGAAAAGAACCTGGAAACATTAAATATGTATTCATTATGAGTGTTTAGAGACTTAAACTGAAAAAAGGATTTAATTATTTTTTAAAAGCATTGTTTGAATAAACAATTGTCATATGTTGGATTTACATTGTCATTACGGCAAAAGCTGTGTGCGATGTGTTTGGAAGGACCGTGTGCGATGTGCCGATGATTACTTGTGTGCCGATGAAGTATTTGATTTGTTTTCTCGTTGTTTCTTTGACATTTAAAACTTACAAACTTTTAACAAAATCAGTTCAAATAATTATATTTTCCTGCCGAGTACAAAAATATTATTATCTTGAACATAAGCGGCATAATACTTTTACAAAAATATCGCCGCGTCACAAACTTCAAGTTTGCCGCGAAAGCCGTACTCGCCGCATGATAATAGTAATTCATAGTTTGTTTTACGTGTTTGTATGCTGTTTTTATTTAAAAATCTTCTTATATTTTTTACATATTGACTTTTAAATTATTTTTTTTTACAAAATTGCAAAAGTATCAAATCCAGTACCGGTATTTTACGAAACGGTATATACCGGTAATTTACGAAGTTACTATTCGGTATAGGACCGATACCGGGAACCGGTGTCCAACCCTAATGATGATTGGTAGTGACCAGCAGATGACCCCTATTGAGTTTTGGGTCAAGGGGTCAAAGGTCAAGGTCACGTTGACCTTGTAAGTAAAAACGGTTTCTGATCAATAAATTAAGAACGCTTGGGCCTAGGATCTTCAAACTTGGTATGGTGATTTGTCATGACCAGCAGATTACCCCTATTGATTTTGGGATCAAGGGGTCAAAGGTCAAGGTCACATTGACATTGTAAGTAAAAACGGTTTCTGATCAATAACTAAAGAACGCTTCGGCCTAGGAACTTTAAACTTGGCATGGTGATTGGTCATGAGCAGCAGATGACCCCTATTGATTTTGGGGTCAAAGGTCAAGGTCACATTGACCTTGTATGTTAAAACGGTTTCCGATCAATAACTAAAGAACCCTTAGGCCTAGGAACTTCAAACTTGGTATGGTGATTGGTCATGACCAGCAGATGACCTATTGATTTTGGGGTCAAGGGGTCAAAGGTCAAGGTCACATTGACCTTGTAGGTAAAAACGGTTTCTGATCAATTAACTAAAAACGCTTAGGCCTAGGAACTTCAAACTTTATATGATGATTGGTCGTGACCAGCAGATGACCCCTATTGAGTTTTGGGTCAAGGGGTCAAAGGTTAAGGTCATGACCAGTAGATACTTGATAACCCTTATTAATTGTTTGATCACTGGGTCAGAAGTCATGCATAATAACCTTATCACATGACTAATTGGCTGCTGATAGGGGGCATACATGTTTTACAAACATATCTTGTTTTTTTTAGTGATACTAGTTCTTTCAATGTAAGATTTAATTATTACACTGATGAATGCCATTTATGATATCTTCATTAGGCTCTGTCACTCATGAGAGTGTTACATAAGGTGATCACATAGTAAAGAATATTTTTTCTATCAAGCTTATATACATTATAAAATAACATTACTTTTAAGAGCAAACAAGATTTCAACTTTTTTTTGTTAGAAATAAAAAATATTAGTCATATAGTAATTGCTTTATTATCCCCCGCCGAAAAGGCGGCGGGGGATATAGAAATAGTCTCCGTCCGTCCGACCTTCCGTCCGTCCGTCCTTCCGTCTGACATTTTTGTCCGGAACATATCTCTAAAAGTATTTGAGTAATCAACTTGAAACTTCATAGGTGGATAGACCTCATTGAGGAGGAGTGCAGTGCACAAGAATGATAACTCTACCCTGCATAATTTTTGAGGTACTGCCCTTTGTTATTTTTCAAAATTGATTTTTGTCCAGAGCATAACTCCAAAAGCCTATGAGATATCAACATGAAACTTCATAGGTGCATAGATCTCACTCAGGAGGTGTGCAGTGCACAAGAATGATAACTCTACCTTTCATAATTTTTGAGTTATTGCCCTTTGTTATTTTTCATACTTAATTTTTCACCTGAGTGGAGCATAACTCAAAAAGTGTTTGACATATCAACATGAAATGTCATAGGTGGATAGATTTTATTGAGGAGGAATGCTGTGCACAAGAATGATAACTCTTCCCTGTACAATTTTTGAGTTTTTGCCCTTTGTTCTTTTTCATACTATTTTGTCCGGAGCTTATCTCAAAAAGTATTTGAGGTATCAACTTGAAACTTCATAGCAACATTTTCTAGCATCATTCCAAGCACTAGAAAAGATAAGTATGATGCAAAAGAATGTTTTAATTTCAAAGGGAAAAATTAAAAAAATATGTGCTGACTTTGGGATTATACTTTTCTTTCGATTTTGTAGAGATAAACTGAAGATAGATCTCATTGAGGAGGAGTGCAGTGCACAAGAATGATAACTCTACCCTGCACAATTTTTGAGTTATTGCCCTTTGTTATTTTTCAAAATTAATTTTTGTCCAGAGCATAACTCAAAAAGCCTTTGAGATATCAAAATGAAACTTAATAGGTGCATAGATCTCACTCAGGAGGTGTGCAGTGCACAAGAATGATAACTCTACCTTTCATAATTTTAGAGTTATTGCCCTTTGTTATTTTTCATACCTAATTCTTCACCCTAGTGGAGCATAACTCAAAAGTGTTTGAGATGTCAACATGAAATGTCATAGGTGGATAGATTTTATTGAGGAGGAATGCTGTGCACAAGAATGATAACTCTTCCCTGTACAATTTTTGAGTTATTGCCCTTTGTTCTTTTTCATACTATTTTGTCCGGAGCTTATCTCAAAAAGTATTTGAGGTATCATCTTGAAACTTCATAGGTGGATGGATCTCATTGAGGAAGAGTGCAGTGCACAAGAATGATCACTCTACCCTGCATAATTGTTTAGTTATTGCCCTTTTTTATTTTTCAAAATTAATTTTTGTCCAGAGCATAACTCAAAAGGCCTTTGAGATATCAACATGAAACTTCATAGGTGCATAGATCTAACTCAGGAGGTGTGCAGTGCACAAGAATGATAACTCTACCTTTTGTTTTTCAATTCATTTTTTTTCTCAAAAAGTATTTGAGGTATCAACTTGAAACTTCATAGGTGGATAGATTTTACTGAGGAGGGATGCAGCACACAAGAATGATAACCTACCCTGCATTATTTTTCAGTTATTGCCCTTTGTTATTTTCAGCCATCAGTATTCACATAGGTTTCAAATCTGTAATCACTATAGCCATCAGTTTTCATTACCAAAAGACCTCTTAAAATGGAATTATTCTGCTGTACTACATATACATTCTTCCAATGAGCAAACATTCGGCGGGGGATGGCCATGTTGTCATGGCTCTTGTTTCAAGAGCAATTAAGATAATAAAAATGCTCACATTCCAATATTTTCAATTCTGTATGTATTCCAGCTCCTCCAAGGTTTGTAAAGGCCCCAGAAACAAAATCGGTACCAATTGGAAATGACGCTGTATTCAATTGCGAGGCAACATCACATAATTCGTACAGCGACCCCCCTGTCTGGTTTGTTAATGCTGATCCTCTTATAGGTAAGATATTTATTATTTGTCCCTTAACCTGCCCCCTCCCCCCACCCCCATTCTTGTTGCTAAGGGGTTGCCTTAAATGGTTGAGGTATCAGAATTGCAGCCATCATTTATCCCTGCATGATTGTAAGAGGTGACTAAGTTGTTTCGAAGTACTGAAGTTTATGCATCTCTTGGCTCCAGCAGGTGAGGTAGTTTTGATCTAAGTTTGTAACACCCAAAGGTTAGCCGAAATTACCTTTAATTTTTCAGCATCAAATAACCTTGATTGTGTTTGGTGCCAAACTTTAACCTGCTGAATTAATTAAAAAAAACTCTCCCAGCTTCCATTACTGGCCATTATCAAGTTGGGGGATATCAGGATCAAAATTTAGTCAGCCAACAGTTGAGTTTTCGGTCAAACTGATGGCAATGGATAATCTCTTATGGCTCCAGCAGGTTGAGGGTTTCAGTAATGTTTGAAAATATTGGGTTACTTCTTAAAATAGTTGGTTATGTATTCACGTACCAGCCTCAAATAGATGGTTGACCCATACCATGTTATGAAGAATTTTAGACGGCTACAGGGTCATAATGTAACCCAAGCGTGTATAGTCTATGAAATATGTCTTTTTAAAAAGGAGAATTACAGTTAGGTCTTTGTAAAAAAGCATTGTGATTTAGCTCAATAAACAAGCTGCTATTGTACTTAACAGATCCATGGCCTAGATCTTATGACATGTTAGGCCATTACAATCAACAATTTGAATACCATGTATTGTCATTTTAAGCTTCTCAAATAAAAATTCTGAATATTAGATTGGTTTGAAAACTCAGGCTTCTCATACTGTTTTTTTGAATGCTATATCTTGTTAAATTTTAGGCTGCCATGATCGACATTTTGAATGTTCTGCACTTAAAGACGGTAGATCTCAATGTATAAAAGAAAATATGGTTTGTGACAATGCCCCAGATTGTTCTGATGGAAGTGACGAAAGCAATTGTCCAGGTAGGCTCAATTTAGTCTTCAAAATTTTGTATCATTTTAAAGCTGCATGTCTCTACAGTAGACGAGTAGAAAAATAAAAAGATAATAAAAAATAAATAAATAAAAAAAATTAACAACATAATTAAGAAAAAAATATTGTGTATAAATGAAGTGAAAATATACACTTATATGCAAATAACAACAGACTTTCATTATTATTTGTATTACTATATTTCTACCCTGTTAATAACAGAGGAGGTGATTTTTTTGCTGTAATAAAAATGACTTGTTTTTGTGGCTTAAATCATTTAAAAAAATTGCATTGACAAATATTGCTTGACAGCATGAATACTTTTGCCTTTTTAAACATTTTTTGTCTCATTTAATATAAAAAAATACATGAATCTAGAGCCTTGCTGGTTTAAATATTGAGTTTTTAAACTGTTGAGTAAGCTAGGTTAATTACTATATTTGGCAAGGTTTTACTATTTACAAAAAAACACCAATACAAAAATAAACATTCTAATAGGAAGCAACAAAGATTTATGTTAAATACAACAGTCTAAATTTAGAATGGACATAGAAATTAACAAAAATCTAAATATAGAATATATACAGAATGTAACAAATAGACTTAGATAGTATTAACAAAAATCTAATTATATTATAGAATAGACATAGAAAGTAAAAGTCTAAATATAGAATAGATAAAGTAACTAAAATCTAATTATAGAATAGATAAAGTAACAAAAATCAATAGACACAGAAAGTAAAAGTCTAACTATAGAATAGACATAGAATATGTAACAAAGTCTAAATATAAAAATATAGATAGTAAGAACATAAAATGTAAGAAATGTTAAATATAGAATAGATATAGAATACAAATTTCAAGTATGAGCTTTGTGGCCGAATGGTTAAGGTTGTTGACTCCAAACCACTTTCCTCACCACCTCACGATGTAGGTTTAAGCCGTGTAAGCGTTGTCAGATTCTACATGTGAGAAAACTATCCAGCTAGCTTATGGAACGATGGTGGTTCTACTCGGGTTTTTATACCCCCAAAAACGAAGTTTGGGGGGGTATATAGGAGTCACCCGGTGGTCGGTCGGTTGGTCGGTCGGTCCAGCGGTCCGTTGCATTTTCCTTGTCCGGAGCATAACTTGAAGACTAATGGTTGGAATTCAATATAACTTCATACAATGGTCAAGCACATTGAGAGGAAGTGCAGTGCACAAGAACCATAAGTTAACTCCATCTTGACTAATTACAGAGTTATTGCCCTTTGTTACTTTTCCTTGTCCGGAGCATAACTTGAAAAAACTACTGGTTGAAACTCGAAACAACTTCATACAATTGTCAAGCACAAAAAGGGGAAGTGCAGTGCACAAGAACCATAACTCTATCTAAGGTAATTACAGAGTTATTGCCCTTTGTTATTTTTCCATTGCTTTCTTTTGTCCGGACTATAACTTGAAGACTAATTGTTGAAATTCAATATAATTTCATACAATGGTCAAGCACATTGAGAGGAAGTGCAGTGCATAAGAACCATAACTCTATTTTGACTAATTACAGAGTTACTGCCCTTTGTTACATTTCCTTGTCCAGAGCATAACTTGATAACTACTGGTTGGAATTCAAAACAACTTCATACAATGGCCAAGCACAATAAGGGGAAGTGCCATGCACAAGAACCATAACTCCATTTTGACTAATTACAGAGTTATTGCCCTTTGTTACTTTTCCTTGTCAGGAGCATAACTTGAAAACTACTGGTTGAAACTTGAAAACTACTGGTTGAAACTCGAAACAACTTCATACAATTGTCAAGCACAATAAGGGGAAGTGCAGTGCACAAGAACCATAACTCTATCTAAAGTAACTACAGAGTTATTGCCCTTTGTTATTTTTCCATTGCTTTCTTTTGTCCGGACTATAACTTGAAGACTTAAAAAGTTTGAATTCAATATAACTTCATACAATGGTCAAGCACATTGAGAGGAAGTGCAGTGCACAAGAACCATAACTCCATCTTGACTAATTACAGAGTTATTGCCCTTTGTTACATTTCCTTGTCCAGAGCATAACTTGAAAACTATTGTTTGTAATTCAATACAACTTCATACAGTTGTCAAGGACATTAAAAGGAAGTGCATTGCACAAGAACCATAACTCCATTTTGACAAAATACAGAGTTACTGCCCTTTGATACTTTTCCTTGTCCGGAGCATAACTTAAAATGTACTGGTTGGAATTCAAAACAACTTCATACAATGGTCAAGCACAATAAGAGGAAGTGCAGTGCATAAGAACTATAACTCCATCTTCAGTATTTATAGAGTTATTGCCCTTTGTTCCTTTTCCTTGTCTTTCTGGACTTATTACAGAGTAATTCAATAAAACTTCATCAATGGCCAACCACATTGAAAGGAAATGCAACATACAAGAACCATAACTATCTTTAATTGCCCACAACCATAACTCTATATTTCAATTCTTTTACAAGGTATTCTGTTACTAGTAACATCCTCTTTTCCGAAGTAGTCTTGTGGGGGTATTAATCACATTTAGTGATAGTTCTAGTTGTTTTTGCCAGAAGTAATGTACAAAGGGCACAGCACCTTCCTTCACCAGTGGAAAGTCGCCATGTGACCTTAACTGTGACATAAAAAACCCACCCGGGAAAAAAGGAATGTCATTGCTAAAAATAGAAAATCTCTACTAGATGTTTCTCTTGTATGTTCAAATAAATTTGATGTACCTCTTTTTGATGCTTATTCATAATGCTAGTATTTTAAACGATAGACACTGACTGGTTTTAGCAAATCTAGAATTATGCTGATAATAAGAAAGTTACAGCTTAATAGAAGCTTGCATAAGTGATAGTAGTATTTGAAATGTTTCACATTAATAATGAACTGTGTTATTTTCAGTGAAAGAAGGTGACACATGAGCACCGCTGTTGTATATATAAAATGAGTGCCAATAATAGCATGTAAATCTCCAATAGCACAACTACCTATATATATTATATATATATGTTAAAAGTTAATATAGTTGAATCAAAATGACATTTTCTTATAAAGCATGTATTTGTATCAGTATGTTAAGGGTTAACTCAATTTTCAGAAGACAAATGATTTTGTGTATTGATTTTTATTTTGGGGGGGGGGGGCAATCGCTAAAATATCTTCGTATAGTTATTTATTGTTGTATCATTAAAATAATACACTTCATTAGAAATGTCATTTTGTATAATTATGCACATTTATGTAAGGCATTTAAAAAGATTCACAGCAAAAGTAAAATTTAAAGTTTAAACTTAAATGTCTGGCTGGTTTAAATAGAAATTACTATCTCTTCTGTGTCAAAAATTAAGTATTATAATGATATGTAGATTTGAATGTTATGATAATATTTCAATAAATATTATATATATTAATTTTGTCTGTCTGTATGTAGGAACAGGTAAGATTAAAAAAGTTTATTTGATATGCCTAAATGATGTAATGTTTGCTTAAAAATTGCACATTATTGCATGCCCCTTACTTATCTTTATGTTAATTTTAACCCTTAACCTGCTGGAAGCAAAAGTAATGGGCCTTTGCCACCAGTTCAGAGCCAGACTAGCCTGCAGTTTTGTGTAAGTCTGGCCAGGATCTATACTTATTGCTGACCAACTTCATGTTTTCATCTATCAATAGTATCTGGACAAGTCCATTACACAAATTTAACAGTTCCAAAAATAGAAGCTGGACCAGTCCATTACACAAATGCGACAGTTCCCCAAAAAATAAGCTGGACCGGTCCAGTACACAAATTTGACAGTGCCAAAAATAGAAAGAAGCTGGACCGGTCCATTACACAAATTTGACAGTTCCAAAAATAGAATCTGGACCAGTCCATTACACAAATTCAGCAGGTAAAGGTTAAAAAAAACAAACCAAAAAACAACTATTGTGCTTTATGTGTAATTCATGAAAGATGCTATTTTGTTGTATTGCTTAATAGGTTTACATTATTATAAGACAGGTGGTAGCAAAGTTTATTGATAAAATATTCATTAAAGCAAAGCATAAGTGTAGTCATGTGGTCGTATTTGATACAGGGTTGCGGTGGTATACATTTAAAAGATTTTTAACTTGACTATTCGCTAAGAATAAGTAGAGCTATCCTAGTCACTTGAGCGTCCGTGACTGGGTCGGCATAACCACTTATGTTTAAGTTTTTGTAACACCTCAGTTTTTAGCTCACCTGTCACAAAGTGACAGGGTGAGCTTTTGTGATCGCTTTTCGTCCGGCGTCCGTCCGTCCGTAAACTTTTACTTTAAATGACATCTCCTCATAAACCACTATGCCAATTTCATCCAAACTTCACAGGAATGTTCTTTGGTGGTCACCTTTAAAAAGTGTTCAAAGAATTTAATTCCATGCAGAACTCTGGTTGCCATGGCAACCGAAAGAAATTTTTTTAAAAATATCTTCTTTTAAAAAACCCAAAGAGCTAGAGCTTAGATATTTGGCATGAAACATCTTCTAGTGAGTGTCTACCAAGTTTGTTCAAATAAAAGCCCTGGGGTCAAAGTTGGCCCCGCCCCAGGGGGTCATTGATTTTCCCTATATGCATATAGTAAAAACTTAAAAAATCTTCTTTTAAAGAACCCAAAGAGCTAGAGCTAAGATATTTAGCATGAAACATGTTCTAATGGGTGTCTACCAAGTTTGTTCAAATAAAAGCCCTGGGGTCAAAATTGGCCCCGCCCCAGGGGGTCATTGATTTTCCCTATATGCATATAGTAAAAACTTAAAAAATCTTCTTTTAAAGAACCCAAAGAGCTAGAGCTAAGATATTTAGCATGAAACATCTTCTAATGAGTGTCTACCAAGTTTGTTCAAATAAAAGCCCTGGGGTCAAAATTGGCCCCGCCCCAGGGGGTCATTGATTTTCCCTATATGCATATAGTAAAAACTTAAAAAATCTTCTTTTAAAGAACCCAAAGAGCTAGAGCTAAGATATTTAGCATGAAACATGTTCTAATGGGTGTCTACAAAGTTTGTTCAAATAAAAGCCCTGGGGTCAAAATTGGCCCTGCCCCGGGGGTCATTGATTTTCCTTATGTGTGTATAGCAAAAACTTAAAAAATCTTCTTTGAAAAAACCCAATTAGCTAGAGTTTAGATATTAAGCATGAAACATCTTCTAGTGAGTGTCTACAAAGTTTGTTCAAATAAAAGCCCTGGGGTCAAAATTGGCCCCGCCCCGGGGGTCATTGATTTTCCTTATATGTGTATGGCAAAAACTTGAAAAAACCCAAATAGCTAGAGTTTAGATATTATGCATGAAATATCTTCTAGTAAGTGTCTACAAAGTGTGTTCAAATAAAAGCCCTAGGGTCAAAACTGGCCCGCCTCAGAGGTGTCATTGTTTTTAACTATATGTGTATAGTTAAAACTTAAAACGTCTTCTTTTAAAAAAACCAATGAGTTAGAGGTTAGATGTTTAGCATGAAACATCTTTTCGTGGGTGTCTACCAAGTTTGTTCAAATAAAAGCCCTTGGGTTAAAATTGGCCCTGCCGGGGGGGGGGGGGGGGGTTGCAAAGGTCATTGTTTTTCATTATATGTGTGTAGTGAAAACTTAACGTCATGAAGCATCTTCTAATTGGTGTCTTTCAAGTTTGTTTAAATAAAAGCCCTGGGGTTTAAACTGGCCCCGCTCCGGGGGCCTATATACAGGTGAGCGACCTCAGGGCCATCATGGCCCTCTTGTTTATTAGCATTATCTTTTTTATTTTAAATGGTATCTTCTCTAGACTTTTGATAATTGTTCTTTGTCATTTCTCACATCATGCATGACAAAGTTCATAACTCAAGCATCTTTATTTCAAGAATTATTTCCTCTTTGATGTCGTAATTTTACTTTAAAAACTTTATATACTTTATGCTCTTATCATTTTTGTTACTGAATGATTGACTTCAGGATTTTATAATGTTGTCTTTTTCCGTTAAAGCATAGAAATGTCTGTTTAACTTTTATTGTCATGGTCGCATGCATATTATGTGGTGCAGAAATATTGAACATTCGAGTGGTGCTTTCTTGATACTGATACAGAAATATATTTATATCATAATTGATTTTTTTTTCATAGTTTAATCTTCCTGCACTACGTCCAGTATTTAATTAGTCGAGCCTCGCTGTCTCCTCTGACAGCTTTTGTTTTTTTTATCCCCCGCTGAAAATTTTCGGCGGAGGATATAGAAATAGTCTCCGTCCGTCCAACCTTCCTTCCGTCCGACATTTTTGTCCGGAGCATATCTCTAAAAGTATTTGAGTTATCAACTTGAAACTTTATAGGTAGATAGACCTCATTGAGGAGGAGTGCAGTGCACAAGAATGATAACTCTACCTTGCATGATTTTTGAAAATTGATTTTTGTCCAGAGCATAACTCCAAAAGCCTATGAGATATTAACATGAAACTTGATAGGTGCATAGATCTCACTCAGGAGGTGTGCAGTGCACAAGAATGATAACTCTACCTTTCATAATTTTTGAGTTATTGCCCTTTGTTATTTTTCATACCTAATTTTTCACCTGAGTGGAGCATAAATCAAAAAGTGTTTGAGATATCAACATGAAATGTCATAGGTATATAGATCTTATTGAGGAGGAATGTTGTGCGCAAGAATGATAACTCTTTCCTATACAATTTTTGAGTTATTGCCCTTTGTTTTTTTCATGCTATTTTGTCCAGAGCTTATCTTTTTCATGCTATTTTGTCCAGAGCTTATCTCAAAAAGTATTTGAGGTATCAATTTGAAACTTCATAGGTGGATAGACCTCATTGAGGAGGAGTGCAGTGCACAAGAATGATAACTCTACCTTGCATGATTTTTGAGTTATTGCCCTTTGTTATTTTTTATCCCCCGCCGAAAATTTTTCGGCGGAGGATATAGAAATAGTCTCCGTCCGTCCGTCCGACCGACCTTCCGTCCGAAATTTTTGTCCGGAGCATATCTCTAAAAGTATTTGAGTTATCAACTTGAAACTTCATAGGTGGATAGACCTCATTGAGGAGGAGTGCAGTGCACAAGAATGATAACTCTACCTTGCATGATTTTTGAGTTATTGCCCTTTGTTATTTTTCAAAATTGATTTTTGTCCAGAGCATAACTCCAAAAGGCTTTGAGATATTAACATGAAACTTGATATGTGCATAGATCTCACTCAGGAGGTGTGCAGTGCACAAATATGATAACTCTTCCTTTCATAATTTTTGAGTTATTGCCCTTTGTTATTTTTCATACCTAATTTTTCACCTGAGTGGAGCATAACTCAAAAAGTGTTTGAGATATCAACATGAAATGTCACAGGAGGATAGATCTTATTGTGGAGGAATGTTGTGCGCAAGAATGATAACTCTTCCCTATACAATTTTTGAGTTATTGCCCTTTGTTGTTTTTTTCATGCTATTTTGTCCAGAGCTTATCTCAAAAAGTATTTGAGCTATCAACTTGAAACTTCATAGGTGGATGGATCTCATTGAGGAGGAGTGCAGTGCTAAAGAATGATAACTCTGCCCTGCATTATTTTTGAGTTATTGCCCTTTGTTATTTTTCAAAATTAATTTTTGTCCAGAGCATAACTCAAAAAGCCTTTGAGATATCAAAATGAAACTTCATAGGTGCATAGATCTCACTCAGGAGGTGTGCACTGCACAAGAATGATAACTGTACCTTTTATAATTTTTGAGTTATTGCCCTTTGTTATTTTTCATACTTAATTTTTCAATTCAATTTTTTTCTCAAAAAGTATTTGAGGTATCAACTTGAAACTTCATAGGTGGATAGATTTTACTGAGGAGGGATGCAGCACACAAGAATGATAACCTACCCTGCATTATTTTTCAGTTATTGCCTTTTGTTATTTTCAGCCATCAGTATTCACATAGGTTTCAAATCTGTAATCACTATAGCCATCAGTTTTCATTACCAAAAGACCTCTTAAAATGGAATTATTCTGCTCTACTACATATACATTCTTCCAATGAGCAAACACATTCGGCGGGGGATGGCCATGTTGATATGGCTCTTGTTAAAAATTAAACAATGTGTTGTTTAGTATATCTCCTACAATGATAGTATTAAATATTTAAATCAAAGTGCAGTAAAATTCTATATAAGCACCCCCACACCATCCCCCTCAAAGACACAAACACCTTTTCTAAATTGGTTTAAACTTTTTGCCCTAATATTTTCTTGCATTTATGGTAAGTAAGATTTAAGTTGAAGGAGTTGTCAGTATTGCAGCAAATCAAAATTGTGTTGAGAAGATTGATAATTTTAGAAGTGTTTTGTATCAATTTAATCAGTTATTCCTTAACCTGTTGAAAACCAAAGGTGATTACCCTTTGCCTCCAGTATAGAGCCAGGCTAGCATGCACATTTTTGCAGTCAGGATCAGGTGCTAGCTTTACTGTTGGTAGCTCAATTTTATAATTGGCCGGGTTGCACAGGTGCAAACCCGGGTTATAGTATGGTGAATGTCGGCGGCGGGCGGGGAAAAAATTTTCGTAACAATTTTCTCAACAATTACGTATCACAGCCTCTTGATATTTGGTATACAGAATTGATACATGGTCCCATACTGTGGGCTTCGATTTCAGGTCTGTCGCTCATCCACTTCCTGTTTATCCACTTAGTTAAATTAGTTAGATTTTTCAACATTAATGGTCAATGGTAGGAAATTTTCATAACAGTTTTCTCAGCAACTACTTATCACAGCCTCTTGATATTTGGCATACAGCATTGATACATGGTCCCATATTGTGGGATTCGATTTCAGGTCTGTCGCTCATCCACTTCCTGTTTATCCACTTAGTTAAATTAGTTAGATTTTTCAACATTAATGGTCAATGGTAGGAAATTTTCGTAACAGTTTTCTCAGCAACTACTTGTCACAGCCTCTTGATATTTGGCATACAGCATTGATACATGGTCCCATACTGTGGGATTTGATTTCAGGTCTGTCGCTCATCCACTTCCTGTTTATCCACTTAGTTAAATTAGTTAGATTTTTCGACATTAATGGTCAATGGTTGGAAATTTTCGTAACAGTTTTCTCAGCAACTACTTATCACAGCCTCTTGATATTTGGCATGCAGCATTGACACATGGTCCCATACTGTGGGATTCGATTTCAAGTCTGCAGCTCATCCACTTCCTGTTCACATTAATGGTCAATGGTAGGAAATTTTCGTTACATTTTTCTCAGACACTACTAATCACAGCCTCTTGATATTTGGCATACAGCATTGACACATGGTCCCATACTGTGGGATTCGATTTTAGGTGTGTAGCTAATCCACTACCTGTTTACCTATTGAATTAAATTTTTGACATTAATGGGTCAATGGAAATTTTTTTTCGTAACATCACAGCCTCATGATATTTCGTGTACAAATGCAACCCGGCCTTTTCTGTCTTTGACCCATTTTTTTTATAGAGAAATCCTTAAAACTTATATTGGTGTGTTCTAATTTCAAAGCAGGGGAAATCCATTTCACAGATTCAGCAGGGAAAGGTTATGTTTTTTTTCAAGTGAGAAAAATATTTAGCTTGCTTATGGAAGCACATCTGCCTGAAATAATATATTTTTGGGGCACCTGATATCTTTATCCTCCTGATAAATTTACAGTTGCCCACATGATCTTTTAGTGTGAAAAAAAAGTGTGTGAAATAAACATTATACTCTATTCTAGAATATGATTTTTGCAGGATCATGTGCCGAGGGTCAAGTCTGGTGTAACGACAAATGTGAAAGTGCGGATCATGAATGCAAGGACATTGACTGCGAATACCCAGGATTCCTTTGTAAGGATAAGAAGGCTTGTTTAACAAAAGAACAAGTTTGCGATGGGAATAAAAACTGTGCTGATGGGTCTGATGAACGTGCTTGCCGTAAGTGATTTTATTTTTACTCCGAACATTAGTTATGATGCCACTAGTTTAGAACCAGACCTGTGACTTGACTGTAATCATCTGATTTTATTATTTTGAGAACTTGAAAATCTGAATCAACAGCAGACTGCTCAAAATTCAAGAAAAAGTGGAAAGTTAATGTCACGAATCAAAAGGAAAAAGCTATTGTAGCTCTCGGTTCAATTTCTTTCTGCTTAAATTGTAAATGATTAACATGTATATAAACCTTGAATAAAAATATGTTTAAACCAAAAGGAAAAAGGTTTACTTTTTGTCTCCTTGCAATCATTGTGGGTTTGAATTCTAACTTGAGACTTTGGATTCCTCCACCTATGGCAGTCCAGATAGGTTTCAATGTTTGGTAGTTCTGCTTTGGTGCCTGCACTGAAATAATGGAATGGTACTCAAAGATCTTTTCTCAACCTGAAATTTTGATATTCCCAAATAATGGACAATTTAAAGAATTGATTCATTATTAAAGCTAGACAAGATCATTAAAGAATGTGAGCTGAGAAAAGGGTAAATGTGTTGCTTTCTGTTACAGCTGGTGGTGCAGAGATTCAACGGCAAAGATGGCAAATGCCTTCAGATAGAAAAAGACTTGTCTTACCTAATGTTACATTGGATGATACACTGTGTGTACAGTGTCTGGTACGAAATGAGTATGGATCAACAATTGGTGATGCATGTCTAACTGTTATTGGTAATTATTTTATATTTTTATGGGCCTGCCTCCACCACCCACGTGTTAGATGGTGGAGGCCATATAGATTTGTTTGTCTGTCCGTCCTGCTGTCTATCTATAGACTGATAAAACAGTGGAATAAGTGGGAGTCCAGAACTTTTATCTGGTATAAAAATATCAGTGAGGTATATGTCATAGCATAGTATTTGAAATAGAATGAAATATAAGTAATCTCTCAATGTTTGAAACAGAGTGAGATATAAGTTCTCCCACAATGTTTGAAACAGAGTGAGATATAAGTAATCTCTCAATGTTTGAAACAGAGTGAGATATAAGTTCTCCCACAATGTTTGAAACAGAGTGAGATATAAGTTCTCCCACAATGTTTGAAATAGAGTGAGATATAAGTTCTCCCACAATGTTTGAAACAGAGTGAGATATAAGTTCTCCAACAATGTTTGAAACAGAGTGAAATATATGTAAAATCACACAATGTTTGAAATAGAGTGAGATATAAGTACTTTAACAATGTTTGAAACTTAGTGAGATATAAGTTATCCCACCATGTTTGAAACAGAGTGAGATATAAGTAATCAAACATTGTTATAAGTAATCACACAATATTTGAAATGCAGTGAAATATAAGTAATCACACAATTTGTTTGAAACAGAATGAGATATAAGTAATCACACAATGTTTGAAGCAGAGTGATTTATATAATTTTGGGTCCCATTCTGTACATCCAGAAATATAGTAAAGAATATAACAGGGATAAAGATTTGCATGATGTCATAATTATCTAGCTTTGAAGTGAGAATTGTTTATATTTACACTCGCACTATGCATTCTTGGACATAATTTTTAAAAAAATGTTCACTTGATAGAGTGAAATATAGTCCAAAATCACTGAAAACAAACAAATACTTAAGTTTCTTGTTTGTGCAAATTTGATCTAATTTTTGTAGGTAGTTCGTACAAACAAACATTAAATATTGATGTATTTTATTGTATGACATAGGTAATTGTTTTGTTGGTAAGTTTTTTAAACAATAAGATATAAATATCTGTTGTAAATTAATATTTTTGTACAATTTAACCGTGTGATTGGTATGCTATGCTGTCATAGTTATCTATCTGGCAGGAATGGGATATAATGAACATCGATATATAAATATACGCCTCTTTTTGAAGACTGGAACTCTAAAATTAGAGAATAGTTTAAATTGTAACAAAAATGGTTGTCAAATTTAAAGATCTTGGATAAAGAAAAATAAAGTTACTAGGCCACTGTAGGGTCATTTTAAACAACTTGTTGTTATGTTACCATAGTCTTCTGTGCAGTCTATTTCACTTTACAAGATAATTGACTATTTCACTTTGCAAGATAATTGACTATTTCACTTAACAAGTTAATTGACTATTTCACTTTACAAAATAATTGTCAAGGTTAAAGTAACGTGGTTATACAAATGGTCACTAGGCCAAACAGTAAGCTTGAAGTGATGGTTATGATTCAAATGTAGGTCACTATGTCAAACAGTATGCTTGAAGTGGTAATTCAAATATAGGTCACTAGTTCAAACAGTTACTTGAAGATAAATAGTGATGATTTAAAGGTAGGTTGCTAGGTCAAACAGTAAGCTAGAAGTGTGGGTGATAATTCAAATGTAGGTCACTAGGTCAAAAAGTTAGCTTGAAGTGGTAGTACAAATGTAGTTAGGTCACTAGGTCAAACAGTTACCTGAAGATATATAATGATGGTACAAAAGTAGGTTACTAGGTCAAACAATAAGCTTGAAGTGAGGGTAGTAATTCAAATGTAGTTCACTAGGTCAAACAGTAAGCATGAAGATATGGTGATGTTACAAAAGTAGGTCTCTTAAGAAACAGATAGCTTGGTTATTCTGATGGTACAAAAGTAGGTCACTAGGTCAAATAGTTATATTGACCTCTCCAAGGTCATTATGAGCCTCCTGTTCTTATATGATATTCAGATACTTGTGTATGACTTATATTGTGTGGATGTAACTACAGGTGTTAACTCGTCTGAACACACTACTGTCCAACCAATAAAGGTTGTCACGATTGATTCCGTTACAGGTATACACAATAATATGAGATATGCTCTACCTTCTGATGCTTTTTAATTCAACTTTTGGGAAAATCAAATTGTTTTCTTTAGCTCTCTTTTTCCTTCATTTTAATATAACATTTTTTTGCTGTTATGATTTCTGCTCTTAGATGATGTATTTTCATATTTCGGCAAAAATGGCAAAATTGAAAATGTTGCAGACTCTGCTTGATTTAGCCTGTTAATGGATAGAACTGGAAAGTGCAAACTACTGTCCATGCAAGTTTAAGCAGATATCAGCCTTTAAACTTACCAGACATTTGATATTTATAAAAGGTGGCTCAATAGTTGGCCTTCCTGTTGTTGTTTTTTTATGGTTAATTTAATTTTCTGATTGAATTTGTAAAAAAAAAAAACACTTTGTTTTAACTTTAAGGTCATTTTAAAACAAAAATAAGCAATTTTCTCAATAACTCAGTTGAAAATTAACAGAAGTGGGGCCTCAAGCATTTATGTATTGCAAACAAATTTTACTTAACCTGCTGGATCGGTGTAAGTAAGAATTGCATTGCTTTTTGATATGGAACAGTCCATTCAAAGTTTTAAAAGGATTTCAATTTCTGACTACAAAAATGGTAATTTGAGCCACGAACAGTATCGGACCTGGACAGACTGCACAAATGTGCAGGCTGGCATGAGGTATATACTGGTGGCGAAGGCTTATTACTTATCATTCCAGCAGGTAAAAAGTTAAAAACTAGATCATTCTTGCAAAGCATGTACTAGGTTGAATGAAAAAAAATAAAATAAAAAACAATTCGGTGAGTTGGATACTGCTTACACTGTGAATGACAATCCACTATCAGTTTCCGCTGTTTTCTTTGAATGTCCTATATTCTGATTCTTGTCAATTGTGAATGCCCTATAGTGCTTAAACTTGATGCAATTTTAGAGAAGTTTAACCCTTGCAATGCTGAATATTTCCTAAATCATAAATGGACATGTACATCTTACAATCTGGACAAAACCATTCATCATTTTGGGGAAAGTTAAAAAAAAAAAAATGCACTAAATAGTAAACAGTGCATACCAGGATCATATGGCTCGAAAGTACAGGCTGATATTGGTCTGTACTTGTATAATGCACATGGGTATAATTTGTTGCCACCAGCTGGCCTAGGATTAAAAAACTTCCATTTTCCTTGCTCTGTTAAGTAATTTTCCATTTTGTTTGTGACTGAAATATTTCTAAACTGGTCTTTAATGAATTTAGTTGATTTGCTCTTTGTATAGAATGATTCTGTAGGAGTTGAACAATATTGTTGTTAGATAAACAAGTAGATATACTATTTAACCATAGGAAACTGATAAAAAAATTTTTTTTAAAGCTATACTATGCTCAAATTTGATATTTTGGAAAATATTGGTAATTGCAATGCTACACAGTCTCTTTGTAAAGATAAAAAAAACATGTTTTGACTTTACACAAAGTAGATATGTTATGTATAAAACTCTACACACTATAGGTTGGCACAATAGAGGTTAAAATATTTTACTCTAAAATGAGCATAGTATATCTTTAAAAGGTAAGATTATCGCAGTTTATAAATTTGGTGTAAATAATATACTGTTGTTACCATTGTAACTAACTGTTTAAATGGAAGTTATTATTATTGTAGTCAGGGGTTTAAATGCACTGTGTAACGGTAGCAACAGATGATAATGTTTCTATTTATAGACAAGATTGTTGTAATCAAGGGTCCCAATTCTACATACGATGTGGTGCCTGGCATGTCCGTGTTTATTGAAGTACAGGCAACCACAGATAGTTTGTTCAATAATCAGATGACGTATAAATGGCAGTGGTACGAGGAACAGACAGACAAGAAAACGGGCGTCACTGTTACAAGTATGTTAAGTTATATATTATTCAATATATTTTCCATGTATCTGCCCCTTAACGATGTGGGTTTAAATCCCTCAAAGCACTTTCGATTGTTTCATGTGAGGAAGCGATACAGTAAGTTTATAAAAATTTGGTGGTTCTACTCAAAGTATATAAAAAAATTATTCTGAAAGCCTGCAGGTACTGAAGATTATTTGGTGTAAGAATTTCCTGATACGGGGATATTTTGGAAGAGTGCAATGCGATTTAAAATGGAACTTATTTCATTGCTTGTTTTCTTTCACTTTTAATATGTTTTTGCAACATTAACATTTTTTGTGTGTGCAGAACCAGTATTGCTGCCACCAAAGTCACGACTAGGCAGATACATCCGTATATCACAGAATGGTAAGAATGCAGTATTCCAGTTCCCAGAGGTGAGCGACGAGGACCAGGACGCGTACAATGCATACAATGCTCTCAAAGACCGATTATACACTCTTATCATAGAACACAAGTACGACCGAGTAGAAGTCAACTTCACAATTAATGGCATCAATATCATTAAACCAAGTAGGTCTTTAATTCTGTTATTTTCTTAAATTTTTCATTGTATCAAAGCTCAGTTGCCATTCTTTAATTCATTATAGTAGGCAAATTGTTAGAATTTGTAAGTTGGTTTGTTGTTTAATTTATTCCTGTTAAGCTTAGTTATTATTCGTAAACATTTTCATTATGATTGGGGTGTCTTTGTCTGAATGTTTATGGTTGTTAACTTAAACCACTTGCCACTTACTACTGTTGATCCATATCCCGACAAAGACTTTGGATTCTTGTTTATGCCTAAAATAATTCACAGAGGGGCACATGAGGTCTTCCTCTACCAGTAATGCTGGAAAGTTGCTATATGACCTTTACTATGTTGGTTATGTAAAACACACAAAAAAGTACCAAACAAGCAAAAAACTATTGTTGTTGTTGTTGTTGTAGCTGGTGCTCCGGTGGTTGTAGAAGCGGCGTCAAATCTATGGTTCATCGCACTCATTCTGGCCATACTGATCTTGTTTATTGTGGTTGCTCTCATCGTGTGTTATATGTACAGAAACAGAGGAGGTACATACATGTGTAAGTATTCAAATGTTTTCTGAACTATTTATGTAACATGTTTTTCTTAAAGTGACATTATCTCCGTACAATGGTTAATATTGAGCAGACATGTGTATGTTAAAATAAGTTAGAATTATGCCATAATTCTTTTCAATTTTTGTGTCGCTTCTACGGAGTAGTGGCAACATATAGGGATCACTTCCCCTTCGTCTGTCTGTCCGTCTGTCTGTCTGTCCGTCCATCACATAACTTGTCCGGACTACTCCTCATAAACTACTGGTGCAATTTCATCCAAACTTTACAGGAATGATCAGTACCAAGTCTAGTTGTGCATATTGTCAGCATTTTCCGGTTCAATAATTTTTGTCAGAGTTATGGCCTTTTAATAATTTTTGTGCCCCCACGTTAGTGGCGGGCATTTAGATTTACCCTTGTCCGTCCGTCCGTCTGTCCGTCTTCCGTCCGTCCGTTCACTTTTCTGTCGCACGTAACTCAAAAAGTGTTTGACCTAGAGTCATGAAACTTTACAGGAATGTTGATCAGCATGTGTAGTTGTGCACCTGGGTATTTTCGTCTGGATATTTTTAGTATTTTCAGAGTTATTGCCCTTGACTTAGTAAAATTTTGCAATTTTCCACTTGTGTCGCACGTAACTCAAAAAGTATTTGACCTAGAGTCATGAAACTTTACAGGAATGTTGATCAGCATGTGAAGTTGTGCACCTGGGTATTTTCGCCTGGATATTTTTAGTATTTTTAGAGTTATTGCCCTTGACTTAGTAAAATTTGCAATTTTCAACTTGTGTCGCATGTAACTCAAAAAGTATTTGACCTAGAGTCATGAAATTTTACAGGAATGTTGATCAGCATGTGTTGTTGTGCACCTGGGTATTTTCGTGTGGATATTTTTAGTATTTTCAGAGTTATTGCCCTTGACTTAGTAAAATTTTCCAATTTTCAACTTGTGTCGCATGGAACTCAAAAAGTATTTGGCCTAGAGTCATGAAACTTTACAGGAATGTTGATCAGCATGTGTTGTTGTGCACTTCGGTATTTGTGTGGATATTTTTAGTTTTTTCAGAGTTATTGCCCCTCACTTGTGTCTCAAGTTACTGAAAAAGGATTTGACATAGTCATTAAACCTTATGGGCAGGTTGCTCAGCATATTTAGATTTGCACCTGGGGTTTCGCTTGTGGATTTATCCAGTATTTGTAGAGTTATTTCCCTTGACTTAGTAAAAAGATTGACAGAACAGTGGCGCGGTGGGGGCACCCGTGTCCTATGGACACATTTCTAGTTATTTCTAAAGTTTGTGCGGACTACTTCTCTTATACCACTAATGCAATTTCAATGAAACTTTACAGGATTGATCTGTAGCTCCAGTCCTTGGGCATATTGCACTGGTTTTCTCGTTGAATGATTTTTGGCCGAGTTATGGCCCTTTGATAAAGAAGTGTTTTTTCTGTGTGTTGCCAGATACACAAAAGCTTGTCCGGACTACTCCTCATAAACTACTGGTGCAATTTTATCCAAACTTTACAGGAATGATCAGTACCAAGTCTAGTTGTGCACTGTCCGTCTGTCACAAAACTTGTCCCAACATGAAATTGGCCATCATGAGGCGACACATGTGATCACTGATCGCTCTTGTATAATATGTTTTATATGAACGATGAATAACTTGTGTGGCCCAAGGAAATTTCTGTCCATATCCATGGGAATTTACCCGGTCAATTTTTAAAAAGGGTAGGACAGCCTTTTTGTCTTTTATGCAGATATTTTTTATGCTAAACATTTTCCAATATCAACTGTGGTAAATCATCATTATAATAGACAATCTTTTAAAACGTTTAGTCAATTCAGCTCAACTTTTGACAATTAAAAAATTAGCATAATGTTATGTTTGAATTGAAAGTGAGTGGCTTTTGTCATTTATATTGAGCCATGTCAGTCAGCACATCTATGCAGTCTGACTAGCCTCTTACTAATTAATTCAATGAATAAAATCTGACTGATAGAAACAATCTTAAAGTCATACCTAGATTGTTGTGTATATTTCAGTTATACTTGATTGTATATTTTGTGTGTTTTTAGTGGACAAGAAGGAGCACCAGGCTGGTCATGACCCAGCACAGGAATTAAAAGACAGTGGATTCCATGATGTCGGAAGAATGTACGTTTTCTTTTTCTTTATTTTGTAATTTTTAGCCTGCTTGCAGTAACAGAATTTACCTATGCTACCAGTGCAGACCAAGATCAGCTCGAACATATGTGCCATCTGATTATGGTCTGCACTGTTTGCTATTCAGCCAGGATATATTTCTGAAAATTCTCCCGATTAAAGGATAAATGGTTTTATATGTCAAGAGAAAAAAATGGATGAGTTCATTTGAAAAAAATTCAGGGCTAAGTTCTAATGTTCTATGAAAGTTGTTTTAGCCAACAAAATCTGATTTTGACTGACTGAAGCATTTCTTAACCTGTCTGTATGATATTTATACAGTAAATTCTTGAAAATTTCCCCTTGTCCTTACAGGCTTTTGGGACAAGCTGGGCAATATGGATAATTGATTTGTGTTAATGGCACTTTTAAACCAATTAAAATACCCATGAATGTGTTATTTGGTATGAAGTTGATATTGTACAATTCTAAGATGTTCTCATGCATTGTAATCAGTTCTGTATAAAAACCTGTTGGGTTTTGTCTTTTACCTGCGTAAAGCAAGTAAATTGCACAGAATACATTAATTTGCAAAACTTTTATTAAGTTGGTGTATGTAATGATATATTTGATTTACATTTATCAGTAACTTTATTTTTGCCATCAGAAATACTGATGATAATGAAACTTTGGCATAAATTTAATGTTTAAATAGGTATGTACTTTATCATATTTAACTATGCATTTCTCTTCTGGGTCTTAACTACATACCTAGCCATTATATCTGAAATTTCTCCAATAAGTGAACAGCTCACTTGAGCCAGGAGCATGCACTAAATTTTTTGTCATGGCCATTCTTGTTTGCATTATACATCAAGGCGTGAGCATACATGTCCCTTGGACATCTCTTGTTTGTGCCCTAATTAATGCTATCTTGGTTCTTTTTAGTTTTAAACATCTATCCTGCAGGCGTCATCAGTTTCTACCCCCCCCCCCTTCAAATTGCAGACTAAGATCTGTCGAAATGTCTGGTCATCCGCTCAGGGTCTACTACAGTTCATATTGAATGATGGTCAAGTCTATTTACGATATTTCGTGTGGTAAAGGTTTATGTTGGATAAATATAAATCTCATAATGTTAGTATAACTGATAGTCAAACCATTTAGAATACTCCCTTCAGCAAAGGATTTTCTGCCTCAGACTACATTCTGCTATGTGTTTGAACGATGACTACTCTGGTGATCCTTTTCAATGTCATATCTATCCTTTACTCTGCTATATGTTCAACACAAGTGGTCATTTCAAAGGTCACATTTGAATGTTTCAACTGACTTCTTTTTTATGTTAATGAGTAATTTATGGAAGTATAAACTTCCAACTGCTGGGTTCTGATTGAATTTTCTTCCAAATCATCTTGTTGAAATCTAGATTTAATGACATGCCTGTGATGTCATGATAATAATAAATTAAAGCCAGTTTACCAAACTTGTCTAAGATTCTATACTCATTACTGCTTAACTTTAGCTTATTGATGATAGCAGGATTGTTGCTGGTTCTACTCTAGTACCTGCCTGTTCATGCCTGAAATAATGCATGAACAGGCACTTTAGGTCTTCTTCCAAAGTAGCCTAATGACTTTCATTGTTAGTGCATTATAAAACAAAAAAAATAAAAAATTGATGATGATCTTTATGATGATGATGGACAAGTTGCTGATAATAATTTTGCATGATATGCAGCGTTAACTTGATGAATTAATCGTTTTCAGATTTTTATGTGCTGGAGTATATGTAATAATTATAATAATTTAGAAGTTACTACAGTTGAACATGAAAGTTTTAAGGATGTCATATTTTTGGCTTTTACAGTAAACGTATTGTGCATAGCAATGTGTTGAATTTAGGCTTGTTATTTTATTTTTAGCTGGACTATTGAAGGAATAGAGAAAGCTATTGTACTCACCCTGGTGTTGGCTTGGCCATCACTTTTTGGTTAAGTTTACGCATTGTAAGTTTGTATCTGCAAAACTACTGAAAGGAATGGGTGGGAACTTCACACACTTGTTAACTTAATTCTGAAGTAATACTTTTATTCTTTTTATTTCCGTAGTGATGATGATTATGATGATGACAAACCTCACGCTGATGAAGCTTCCTTGTCGGAGAGTGTAAAACCATATGAATCTGACGATGACCCGACTGAGGAATATGGCGGGGATTTCGATGTTAGCAAATTTAATGAAGACGGATCTTTCATTGGTTTATATGGCGATAAAAAAAGTAAATATTCCACAAAAGAAGCCACCGTATAATATCACTGTGGACAATAATATAACATCGTACCCTGCCTTATAATTACATTTTTATCTCCCTTTTTATATGTTATCGTTTTCATAAAAATAAAATTGATGATATTAAAAATAAATATAAAAAAGGAAAAGAGAAAATGGCTGATGAGACAGTTAATCATAGTGTAAAAAGATAGTTAACAAGTGCAAGAAAAAAATACTGAAATGTGAAAAATACAACTGTGGTAGAATAATCTCATCAATATTTTTAGGAAACTTATTTTTAAATGATTGACAGAATGAATTTTGTTGTATTTTGATGATCATGGTAAACATTGAACCTTGATATATTTGTAGACAAAATCTGATTTAAGTTGAATTTTGTTACTGTTGATTTAGAGTAAAAAAGTCTTTGGATAAAAGTAAAACTTTAAGAAAGAACAGAAATGTCTGAAAGCAGTGTGAGAGAAAATTATGCAATTAAAAATCAATTTATTTTTCTTAAGAATTGTAAATAATTATTTTTTTTTAAATTTTTGTAAGTTTCAAAGACAGTTAACTAAAATCAGACATTGATAATAATAAAAAAAAGCTAATTTGATACTTGTAAACTTAAATCTTATTGATTCAGTGTATGCATTCATGTTCTGTTACTTTTTTACAGAATTGTTAAATGTTATTTAACAGGTATACCTGTTCGAAACATTCTTTTTCTCTTGTTTTAACATAAATAGTTTTGCAAAGGTTGTTTTTTTGGGGGAACAAGTTTTGGTGTTTTTTTTTTGCTTTTTGTTCCTTGAATAATAGACTGAATTTGTACATTATATTTTCTCTTTCAGTTTAGTTTTAGTTTAATAATAGTATTGTTAGAATTAAAAGTATTATATAAAATTATGTACTGAATTTATTAGGGCTTACGCAAATTTTTGTACGTGTGAAGTCGGTAAATTTACATATTTTTTTGTTTATCTTTTTATTTTTACAAAGAAAAGAATAAATATGTTGTTTATAAAATGATATGTAGATGTTCGTTTTTACAGCAAATGAGTGCAATCAGTAGTTTTTGTTTATAATTCGAGAACTACTTAAATAACAACAAACCTGGCAAGTTTTGTGTATGAATATCTCTATAGTGTTTTCATGTTGTGTGTATTGGAACTATTTTTTTTCTCTTTCTCTCGTCATCTCCGTCCCTTGCGAGTAATAATATTAATAATTTTTTTATTGATGCTGATTGGTTCACACAGAGTACAATTTCATATCCTATAGTATAAGATTAATGTCATAAATTCTTATGAAAGAATACAGTGAAGCAGGCCACTGGCTTACTAGACTGGTATAAAAGTTTTTTTATCTTGTTGCAAAAAGTTTGTTCTGAAATTGTGTTTTTTTGCTAGTGCAAAAATTGGATACATAATCATTAAACTGCAGTATCATATCTTGACCAGATTCCATATTGTTTATTTTGATAATTCAGTGTATTTTAACGATGTAAACATTCCTGATTAATCATTCAATGTTCGCTTTAACATTTTACGTTATCTGTTAGGATGTCATTGAATATTTTTATATGTTTTCATAACGTTTCTTCTTGATTGATTGTTCCTATTACATTGTATCTGATGTTGACATCACTTCGTACCTTTTGTAAGTGTGACTATAGCTTATGTAGAATTCATTATGAAATCAGTTTCATGTTACGGTATTTGAAATACATTTTTTGCTGTAAGCTTTGTTTAATGTTCTGTATGCTTTCTTTCTTTTGCTTTTTTATTCCATGCTAAAAGGTGTAAAGTAGGCTTTATTATTTAGATGTTTGTAGTTTTCAAATCCTGCCTTCTCCAGTCCAGCTTAAGAAATGGATAATTGGTACTGCTATTCGGTAAGGTTAACTCCTTAAAGGCGGAGCTTAACACCCTGAAGGTCTGGCCTACAGCACTAAAGTGAAATTCTTAAGTGCTTTTAAGGTTAACTCTCACTGAAAGTGGGGTTTAACAAACTGAGGTAGAGTTTACTGTCTATGTAAACTCTCAGAAGGCGGGGCTAACAACATGGGTATGTCTTCAAGGGCTGGGTGTACCATGCTAGTTTAGAGTTCACATACCCTTTTTTGAAAGGCTAACAAATCTTTGCCTATTGCTTAATGACTTATTTATACAAATATATCTTTCTTTCTTCATTCTTGAATAAATTTTTTTGTTTGAATATAATAATAGTTTTTCAAATGCGTATTACCTTTTTTGTGTTTAGATAAGTGTGTAAGCTAGAAACAATTTGAGTTTTATATGGTGCAGGATTGATACTTTCATGTAGAAAATCTCTCAGTAAGGAAGTTCTTTGTTCTTTGACCACTTCTTATATATTGTGCTGGAAAGTTATTAAACTATTTGATAACCAGGACGTTATTTTAAGTTTACGAGATGATAATTTAGACCGTACCTACAGCACAAGGTCATGTAAGAAGTGGGAAAGGATCATTTGTCATCACAATTTGTAAAAAAAAATGAAAACCCTATTTTTCTTGTGTATAGACATTTATATATGTAGTTGATTGTATTAGAAATAATTCTGGAATAAAGTGTGATTTTAGTTTATATAATTATATATATATATATGTATAGATTTTTCATAACTTAAAGTAGATTTGTGACTATCTTAATAAGAATACAATTATGTGGTTTTTTTAATGTTGATTATGTAAATTGTTTGACCAATTTGTCCTGTTATAAAGTATATGCAACAAGAATTGTTATATTCATGCATTTTATAAATGTTTATTATAGCTTTATTAACATGTCAGCGTTTTGTTAATAGTCAAAATAATCTAGAAACTTGAATGAGCCGTGTCACACCCTTTGTTACAATGATTTTCCAAGATATACCTTAGTAACAGTAATTTTCCAAGATTTACCTTAGCAACAGTAATTTTCTCCCAAGATTTATGTAACAGTAATTTTCCTAAAGATTTACTCTAGAAACTGTAAATTTCCATGATTTACTTAAAACAGTAAAAATTCCAATTATTTACCTGAGAAACAGAAATTTTCCCAGATTTACTAAAAAGTGCATAATTTCCTAAAACAAATTAAATACTTACAAGAAACAGAATATTTTGCATGATTCTTCAATTTGTAGAATACACTTCATCACAAGAGGCTAAAAAGTTTTTTCATATGTAGCAAAAACGAGATAAGTCAAGAAATGTTCCAGTTTTAGAGAAAAGATCAAGTCATTTCTTTAGTGTTGGAGGTAGAAATAGTATTAAACATAACTTATATTAAAACTGCTGTAATTATGTCCTTGTCTCTTTGTGTTGTTAAACAACTTGAAAAATTTTGTTTGTAAAAAATTTACACATTTTTTCCCAGATATAGAATTTAGCTTCTTATTACATAAATGCCATATATTGCCATATTACAATTTCTGTTAATCTAATTTTTTTATACACTAAATCATGCCATATACTGTAAGTCTATTTTACTTGTCGAATTGTTTTTGTTTTTTTTTCTGTCCTGGAAACATTACATTTATATCTACTGTTGATTTACTTTGGAATTATTTTAAATTCTAAGGTTTGGAATGGTTATCATATATTTCTCAAAGAGGGGTAAGATATCTTCATTTGACACAATCTTACTATGAACGTATTTATGTCAAGAAAATATTATGAAATGTGAGGTATTGTTGCCATGCCAACCAAATTTAAATACAGAACCGTGCTCATGCTATCTGAATATACGCAATTTGTTTGTTTTAACGCTGTATTATATTTTTAGCTTACTTACTTCATGTATTATATATGTGTATGCAAGATGGTTTAATTTTTCTTTGCTAAAGAATGTGTGTCCCCATGGTAACATGAGGTTGTTTATAAAAAATTGCCAGGTTAATGTTATACCCTCAGTGTATTTCAAAGATTTTATTTATTTTAAAATTGTACACTTGCGAAAGGTGATTTAACCTGGTTGACTTTTGACCAGTGTTTATTTTGTAAGAAAATTACGAGGCGTCTTTATTCAAGGGGTGTTTTTGTTACGAAGATGGTGTGAAAAGAGGGCGTGGTTAAAGTTTTGTATCAGATATGCCATATTTTATGTCCATAACTAATTCACATTGTATCGGAAACATTTGTGATGTTTTGGTAAATTTCTATTTTTACGTTCTTGTATCATTTTCTTGTGAATTTATGAAATAATATACATGTATGTTTGAATTTTGACATAGGCTTTTCTTTTAAACAAAATAGACATGTGAAGTTTTTCTCTCATTTTTTTTCCTGTAAGTAAATTTCCATAAATTTGAGTTTGAGTTTTTCATATTTAATGAAAAAGTAAATTTTAATTGCCAGAAAGACCAATGAAAATTTACATAGAAAGATAATGTAATGTGATGTGATTTGTTTAAGTGTTTTATCACATAAACTAGTCAAATTTAACTTTATTGCCATCATCGATTTAGTGACATTATTAATGTTTCAATGTACTGTTACAAACATAACTTATAGAAATGTCCACAAGTGTTTGTTGTTGTTTTGGTTTTCCTATTGATCGCATAATGAAACCAAATGTTTTCATTAAGAGTCTGTTTTTCATCACATGACATTTATAAGACAATTTTAATGGAATTTGAAAGGAGAAGATTATTTTTATCACATGATATTGTAAAAGTTGGAAATTGCTGTAAAGCAGCAAATAGAAAAAGCACTGTTTATATGGGACGTTTATACAAAAATGTTATATTTTGAATTAAAACATGTAATGTAAAAGTAAAGCAGCAAAAAAAAACACTATTTATGGGTCAATAATATTACAAAAAAAGTTATATATATTTTTTTTCATTGCATGGTATTTTTATCAAGTTAAGAACATGTATTAATTGTACAGATATATCAATGATATAAAATATTTTATATACTTTGATGTTGTGATGCAGATTTTAACCTTTGAAAGGCCGTACATGTGATGTATTAATTTTTTTCTATTTGTCGATGTATTGTTGTTTTGTTTTTTTTCACTCTGATAGTTATTCCTAAAATAAAGTATTTACTTTGTTTTTCTGACTAAAAAGACTGTAAATATGTGAAGGTTAGTGAATGATTCGTCTAGGTATCTCATATTTTTACATAATATTTTTTTTTTTAATAATTCAGAATGATGTATTTCTTGTTTTGGCCGTATCAGATAAATATATTTATTACTCACATAATGTATAAGAACAATCTCTTGGCTAACTATTTACTTTATTTTAACTAATTACTTTAAGTTAGTTATTATTCAAATTTGATGATATCTTTTATTAAGGCGACCTTTATAAAGACTAGCCTGTAGAAAATATTTCAATTTTTTTTTAGTTCTTGATATCAGAATAGAAGTACGTCTGGACTTTGAAAGACCCTGGTCTGGAAATCACAAAAGTTTATAGCAATAAG